TTTAAATGAAAAAATCTTTCCCCTCAGTTTTGGAAGGATATCTATTGTTTACAAAAATTTCAACAACAGTGAAGACCCTTTGCTAGCCTTTTCCAGCAACTTCTTAATTGCTTGGATAATGGAGTTGGCAATTTCACATCATACTCTCCTCCTCCAAATTCCGAGAATTACAAAGAAAATTTCTTTAATGGTGGCCTAGTTTTCCATCCAAATCTTAGTCCACCAGCTGTGCAAGTGTGGCTCTCTCAACACCTACAGTTATGTCAGCCTCAACAACAATCAACATTTTTGACTCAAAAATCCAGACTCCTTGCTGAGTTGGCTCAATGTCAAAACCCTCAAGATATGGACAAATTATTATGGCTATTGGATCTTCAACATCCAAAAAGCAGACTCGGATAGCACCAAATCACCAAGCGATCAAGATGAGGATGAACTATTTGTCATGTTCCAAACCAGATCAATTATGAATTCAATAAAGGTTGACGACTCAACTTCTGCAATAATTTCAAGTCTCAAATTTCAAAATTTCGGCGCTGACAAGATTCTTCTCCAAGTTGACTTTATCTCTTGCCCAGAAGACAAGTTGTCAAGATTTTTTGCAAACATTTAAAGACTTCAAGACTTCTTCAAAGCAATCCTTTCACGTGGCTTTTGCAAAGATTTTCAACAATTTCAAGACACACTTTGTCAAGCTCCCCTGACAACAAGCAAGACTTTTCAAGATAACTTTTATGAACCTTATCAGTTTGTCTGCATTCCAGAGCAGATCAATAATCAAGACACGTATCCAAGACAGCTCATCACTTATCAACAACTTTATCTTTTTCCTGTTTTGCATTAATGTAACGGATTCAAATGTTTTTGAAATCCGGTCTGTTGTAGTATAATAGAGATCACTTCAGTTGTAAGCGTCAAGTTTTAGAAGTTTTTTAGAACAAGTTTTAGAGAAAGTTTTTAGAAGTCACAAAAAGTTTTAGTTTTAAGTTTTCAAACACTTTGAGAGAGAAAGTTTCCTCTCGTGTACAAATCATCAAAGCAATAAAGACTGTAAGTTTCTTCATTACATTCAATTTATTTTGACTCAATTTACATTCATTCATTTATATTGTTTTTACTTTAATATTTGACTTGACTTGACTTTTCTTTCAAATATTTTGCATTTACTTCATTCATTTTATTATCTTCATTCAATTACTTTGTGTTTTAAAGATCGTTTTAAAGATCCTGCTTTATATGGTATCAGAGCCAGACTTCCATCTCCAGTGCTTGGGTTCGAGTACCGTGGCTGTCAACCCCATGCATAAATTCAGACTGGGCGTACCAGCTGGGTCGTGGGGGGAGGGGAATAAGGTATTTGGTCCTTAACTGGACAGGAATCCTTTTCAGTTCAATTTACATATACATACATATATATATATATGTATATGTATATATATTAATATATATATATAATATATATATATAAATTTATATTATATTATATATATATATATATATATTATTTTATTAGTTATAGGCTTCAATTGACAAAACCTAGCCATTCTCATCTGTTGAGCACGCCACCTTCATCCATTTTCTCTCAAGCTTCTTCATCAAATTCAAAGAGAATTCATAGGGTTTAGCTTAATTTTTGTAGATTTTCATCCTAAAGCATCTAAAGGTAAGATTCTAGCACAAAAGTGTGTATTTAAGCTTTAAGTTTTGAATTTTATGTTTTTACATGATTTAGTCCAAGAGGAAAAAAATTTAGCAAAGGAGTTGAATCATTAGTGTTGTACAAATTTCAAGTAAGTAAACCCAATCTAAGCTTTAATTTGAGTAGTATATGTGTAAGTTGATTCTTGATGTTTGTGTATGATGTATGATAAGAAGTATTGGCTGTTAGATGCTTGTTTGATGGAAAATAATGTGTAGAAGTTCAGCCAAGATGAGTAGTTATGTAGATGTGATGTTTGGTTGAACCTTGGATGAAATTTGAAGAGTTGATGTTGGAATTTGGAAGTGTTATTCGGCCAAAATAGGGGCTGAGTTTTTGTTGAATTTCCTTCCAACTTTAAGGTATTTGGAGAGATGTGGAGGTGTCGCCAGCCATGTATTTATATGTGCATGTAAAGTGTTTGATGAAATTCAAAAAGAAATTCTCATGAATTTATCAATATTGTATAAGATATTGTTGATATGAAAGAATTGATGTTAAATGTGTATTAGACTTGACGAAGTATAAGTTTAAGTGTTTAAGAGTGCATTTTGTTATGCCAAAATTTAGAATAACACTTGGTTATGTAGTTCAATAAAGAATGGCCTTTGTGTATGGTTCAAGTTGCTTGAACTTTTAGCATTAGTTTGAATGCAGATTGTATTTATCATTGAATTATGGTTTTGAAACTTATGACTTTAGAAAAGTGATGGCAAATTGCATATTAAATTGTTGCAATAGTGTAGTATTGATGATAGTAAAATTGTTGATTATATATATATTACAATATGCCACAATAAATTGTCAAGCTGTATACTTGAAATTAGAAGGATCATTCAAAGAATGGCTTGGCCAATAGGAATTGTTGTTTCTTGTTTTGGATTGTTATAAACAATATGAAATGTGATTTTATTGTATAAAGAATAGAAAGTTTTCCCAATTTAGATATCAAAAGAAACATCAAAGAAATAAAAGTTTGGTTTATGAATTAAATACATGACATTTTAGAAATTGATTGGTATGAGTAAGTTATCATGCCTTATTATATATACAAGCTATAAATTATACTAGAAGATTTTGAAATATGTTGTATTGGCCAAAAGTTTAGTTAAGAATGTTAGAAAGAAATTAGAATTTAGCCAAAGTATATTTTGTGCATATGTTAGATTGTATTTACAATGATTATATGGCAATATAGATTAATGTATAGAATGTAGCCAAAAGAAAGAAGAAAGAAGGGCATGTATAACATGTTGATGGCCATATTAGAATGTAAATTTATGGCATTAAAATTTGTATTTAGAAAGTGGTACAAGCATGTTTGTAACATTAGAAATTTAGAGAGTAGTTTGATGACATGGTTATTTGATATATATATATATATTAGGCAAGTTAGTAGACTTACACAATACTATTTGTGGCATAGATTTTTATAGAAGAAATTAGATTGCCCAAAATGTAGAATTCATTCCCTGGTTGAATTGTGCCGTTTTAATACCTCACTAATAAAATTATAGAAGAGTAGAATTTGTGAGAGATAATGTAATTGTGTACGTGTACATTTTACATAGCATGATAGAATTGAAGAATTACAGAATTATGTAGAAATTATAGAATCGCGTATGTACACATGATGCATAGAATTCAGAAATAAAGAATAAAATAGAAAATGTTTAAGTTAAGCATGTTACTAGAATAGAACTTTGGGCTTTCCAGAAAAATATAGAAATAAAAGCCTTAGAATTAATAGAATACATGCTAGAGTCAGACACGTATTTTGGGATCATGCATAGACAGCATATAAATACATGACATAGCATAACATGTATTTCAGAAATTTTAAAATTATTGGAAAATGTCTAGCTAGTTATTTTTCAGATTTACAGAGCATGTTTTCAGAGGGCTGTTGCAATGGGCAACCTGTGAGCATTCGCTGTGTTAGTTAGTGGCGACAGAGATGCAGAAGTTTCCCACATGCACGCTGCCATCAGTGAGCGGCCTCAGAATAGAAAACAAAATTTGTACAAGCCGTTAAAAATGCATGTGGATGAGCACTATACCCAGAAAGAATTTCAGAATACACTCACACGGCCATGGTTCCAAATCCATGCCTCAACCTAGTCTGATCAGCAAACCAGAACAGAATACAGAAAAAGAAAAAGAAAGAAAAATAGAATAAGAAATAGAAAACAGAACGAATTTCAGAAAGAAAGGAAAAAAATTTCATAAAGAATTAGAAAAGAATTTTCAGAAAGAATACAAACATGATCATTTGCATATGCATCAGACATTTTATGTACATTGCATTTTATGCATTTATGCATAGATTAAAGAGTTTATTTTATTATTGCGTGTCTTACTAGCCAAGAAAAGAAAATAGAAGCCCATAAAAATAGAGAAGAAAAGAAAATAGAAGCCTACAAGAATAGAAAAAAAATTAGAGATATACAAGAAAGGAACAGAAATTAGATATATGCTAGAAAAGAATAGAAATTAGAAATATGACAAATAGCAAAGAAACTTAGTGACTTGTTGAGTAGAGAAAGAAACAGAAAGATATAATCTAGCAGAGAAGAGAAATAAAATGATAAAGAATATCACAACACTAGAAAGATTTAGAAAGATTTGAGAAAAATAGAAGACTGCTAAGTAGTACGCCTGAGAATAAAGAGAGAAAGCAAGCAGAAATTTAGAAGCAATACAGCAAAAACGAGGACAGCAGAGTAAGAGCATAGTTAAATTTGATTTACTTACTAAACATTTATAGCTCACCCCGTTGCTTTCTTTATTTTTGTAGGTATTAGATTGTAGCGGTCGGGAGACGTCAAGCTGGCGAGAGGGTTGCACATATTATCTCAATGAAGGAATTAATGTGGATTTATATATGTATTTTTGGTAGTAATAATATTTAGAGAACATCTTCACGCTTTTCGGTTCATTAGAAAATGATTCTTATTATTTTTATATATATGAGAAATAGTCATTGTGTAATAGTATTTTATAGTTGGATTAAGAATAAAAAATTTAGACGAACACCCTTTTTAAGCTAGCAATTCTCTGGATTCTCTCTATAGGATACTCAATGAATGCTTACCTAGTGAAAGATTACAACCTTTTTAGGAACCTAAAAATTACCATTGGTACTGGTTTATGGGTGGGAATTTGCAATATATGAAACCAGGGGTGGAAATTGAATTTTGCCAAACCTTGGGTGCAAACATATCGTTTACTCTATAAATAAAAAGAGAACAAAAATTACAAGAAGACAACAATATTTCGGTACAAGGATATGAATTTTGTAAATCGGCATTGCCAATTCGAATTCTGTAATAGAAAGCCAGTTTCAAAGTCCGATCATGACTAATATCATTCTGAAATCTTCCGAGCTTTGTCTTCTCTAGGCACTGCTCTAACTTAACCTCAGTTTTTAAACAGAATCCTGACTCTGGTGCACACAAACAAAAATAATGACCCTTTACATGCCCTTGTTCCGGTCATGCACTACCTTAAGAACTCTAACTCAACTCCATGCCCACCTTTTGGTCACTGGCCTTCACAGTGACCCACCTGCCTCCAGTAGGCTTATTGAGTCCTATGCCCGAATGGGTACCCTTCAATCTTCAAGACTTGTCTTTGAAACCTTCACAAAACCTGATTCTTTCATGTGGGCTGTACTCATCAAGTGTTATGTGTGGAACAATCTCTTTGAAGAAACCATTTCACTCTACCATAAAATGATATACAACCACGGCCTTATTAGTAACTTTATATATCCATCGGTTTTGAGAGCTTGTTCTGGTTCTGGTAATCTGGTTATTGGTGGAAAAGTTCATGGAAGGATAATCAAGTGTGGATTTGATAATTATGATGTTGTTGAGACTTCACTTGCAGGTATGTACGGTGAAATAGGCTGTTTAGACGATGCTAGGAAAGTGTTTGATAAAATGTCAGTGAAAGATGTGGTTTCGTGGAGTTCCATTATTAAGTGTTGTGTTAATAATGGGAAGGTTGATGAAGGGCTCGAGATATTTCGTCTGATGATTATTGAAGGTGTTCAACCGGATTATGTGACGATGCTTAGTGTGGCTAAGGCTTGTGGCGAATTGTGTTTTCTGAGACTAGCGAGTTCTGTTCATGGTCACGCATTGCGGAAGAAGATTGAGATTGATGGACCATTGGGTAATTCTCTTATTGTAATGTATAGTAAATGTAATGATTTGTCAAGTGCTGAGAAGGTTTTTGTCACGTTGAAGAAAAGATGTACTACTTCATGGACAGCTATGATTTCTTGCTACAACAGAAGTGGTTGTTTTCGAAAAGCTTTAGATGTTTTTGTTAGGATGCTTGAGGTTAGAGCGAAACCCAATTCAGTAACAAGGTCAACTATCTTAGGTTCATGTGCAGGATTAGCTTGGCTTAGAGGAGGGAAGTCGGTTCATTGGCATATTATTATAAAAGATATGGAATCCAAGTCTGGTTATTTGGGGCCAGCATTGATTGAATTTTATGCTGCATGTGGTGAATTTAGCAAATGTAAGAAGGTTCTTCATACACTTGGAGAGGGGAATATCATATCATGGAATATGCTCATATCACAATATGCTCAGAAAGGATTGTTGAAGGAGGCATTGGCAGTCTTTGTACAGATGCAGGCACAGGGTCTAATGCCAAGCTCATTTAGTTTGCCAAGTTCTCTGTCAGCTTGTGGAAATATGGGTTTTTTGCAGCTTGGGCTTCAGATACATGGTTACATCATTAAAAGAGAATTTTCAAATGAAGTTGTCCAGAATTCACTAATTGATATGTACTCCAAATGTGGTCTTGTGAATTTAGCATGCACAGTATTTTATGGGATCCAACAGAAAAGTGTTGTAACGTGGAATTCTATGATTTGTGGATTCTCCCAAAATGGCTTTTCAGTTGAAGCAATCAATCTTTTTCGTCAAATGTACTTGAACAGTCTTCAGATGGATGAAGTGACCTTCTTAGGTGTACTTCAAGCTTGCTCCAATTTGGGTCATCTTAAAAAGGGAAAAAGGGTTCATCAGATGCTCATTTGCTATGGTATAAGGAAGGATATTTATATTGACACAGCACTAACTGACATGTATGCTAAGTGTGGAGACCTTCAAACGGCTCAAAGAGTCTTCAGTAGCATGTCGGAAAGGAATGTGGTATCCTGGAGTGCCATGATCGCGGGTTATGGAATGCATGGTCAGCTAAGGACGGCCATCTCACTCTTCAAGCAAATGCTAGAATCCGGAATAAAACCCAATGAAGTTACCTTCATGAACATTTTATGGGCTTGCAGTCATTCAGGTTCTGTGGAAGAAGGGAAGGTTTATTTTAACGCAATGAGGGATTTCGGAGTTGAGCCAAACTCAGAACACTATGCTTGCATGGTTGACCTTCTAAGCCGCACTGGTCATATCGCTGACGCATATCAAATGATCCACTCGATGCCATTCCGTGCTGATGCTAGCATTTGGAGTACTCTTCTTAACGGGTGCAGAATCCACCAAAGAACAGATATGATTAACATCATTGAAAACGACCTTTCAGATATTCGTACAAGCGATACTGGATGCTATACTATGTTATCTAATATATATGCCGAAGAAGGAAACTGGAATAAGTTTGGGAAGGTGAGAGCAGTTATGGATGGTTCTGATCTACGGAAGGTCCCTGGATACAGTAGGATTGAGCTTGATACTGAGAATTCATTGGTTTAGAGTTGGTAATATATTTCAAAGAGTGAGGAAATTTACAGAATTTTAGCAAATTTTCAAATTTGCACTTGAAAATTTAAATACACCAAAAGAAAGAGTTTGATGACTGACAGTAGTGTATTTCCCATAGAAAGAAATAGTCACTTACAGCTGCAAGCTGGCGATTGCTCTGGGAAAGACCAATACCAGTAATCTCTTCCCTTTCTTCTGATTGGTCTTTCTTTCCCCGGAATTGTCCAAAATCATAGGTAGAGTGGTTGTTACACAGAGTTTTGACTCGGTTTCATCATGTTGATGCGAGATTTTGGGCACCAACTAATCAATACGTGTGCAACGTTGATTGATCAAAAAGCACACGTAAAAATGAATATGTAAAGAGAAATGAATGCTATCAGAACTTTTAAAGTGGTTCGGATGCTAAGGTAGCAAGCCCTACGTCTACTGATTTGTATTGATAGTGAGTGTGGGTCAGGTCGCAACAGCGGACTGACTTACAAGAGGTTTAGAAAAAAATAAATGAGTTGTTTACAGGAGAGAGAGAGAGAGAGTTTTTGTAAAAAATGGTCGAATCCCCTTAATGAAGGGGTCTTCTTCTTCTTATATCAAGCTGAAGCGTGTAATCATCATTAAATCTTGGGTTGGTGTGATTGTCAGGATATAATCCGGCTTTATGTCCCATCACCTTCTTCCTAAACTGACTTCGCACGGTTTATAGCAGGGAAATGGACGCGTGGGAGCTTCATATCGTTTGGTAGGCCTGACGTGTGTTTGATGTTCTGAGGGGAGCAGGTCATCCTCCACGTGACCCTCCCACGTCAGTCCTTGCTTTCCCAGGCATAACACATCATTTTATGAATGGTGTGTTGAGGTTATGGAATGGAAGTACCCCTTGTTACTCAAGTCTCCATCAAAGGTCGGTCTTATTCTGATGTACTTTCATTTGTACTATGGTATTTACATGGACCTAAAACAGGGATGAGTAAATATATTCTGTGACAAGTAAAAACCACGTGCAAAAGGATAGAGTACCTAGACTTGTAGCGTTTTTCTGCTGCTGCAAAGAGTTTTAGTTCCTGAGGATAATTTGTTAGCCCCTGAACAACCAGACACGGTTAGTAGAATTATTGTTGAAAATCATGAAACATGTTCCCAGAGGTTTTTTCTTGATTAAACGCGGGCTGTACTTAATACTTATCCATATACGGGAAGGTTCGATCATCCATATGTTTCCTTTTTATTTTATTGGATGGATGCAGGCATACAACTCTACATTTCATCCCAATTAGAGTTGACAATGAGTCGTGTCGGGTTTACGATTATACAGGTTGTGCTGTGGAAGCTTGAAAAAAGCACATGAACTGGCACGGCACAAAAAAAAAAAAAAAAATTTAAATAAAATACTAATCTATGTTTACAGTTAAATATATTTTAAGAATTTAGAAATTAATAAAAATAAATATGTTTAATAATTCTTAATTTTAATTTTTAAGTTTATATTTGTAATTTATAATTATAAGTAATAAAAATGTTAAAATTTAATTAATATTTTCATGTTTTATTATTTTATTATATTTAGTAATAATTATATTTTTTTTAATTAATATAAATATAAAATATCACTAAATATAATATAAAAAATATTTTTACAAAACATGGGAGGCGATACATACTACGGCCCAAGATATGGCAGGATATATAATAGGTTGTACTGTAAGCCTTCAAATTTGGTGGACCGACAGGGCACAAATTTTTGCAGGCCTTCGCATGGCACGGTCCGCTGCCAGTCCTAATCCCAACCAAGCAGCTGCGTGAGAAGTACAACAGGCCTCGTCGTGAAGTGCCCGTGGATCCAGAAGATGAGGAGCCTAAGTGAACGATGCTTGTGAGCTTTAAAGGACCAGAGCGCAAAAGCACACGATTCTAAGTATTGTTTTCAATTTTCATTCGGAGTAGTCATTCACAGTACCTTTTGGTTTGTATATGATACTGATTCTTGTATATCCTATATCTTCCTCTCTATTTTTATTTTTTTCTTGGGGAGGATGGAGCCTCTTGTAAACTTGAGATGGGTAAAACCAAGTAGGAAAAGTTCATTTATTATAATGAGGATGAAGTGCCTGAAATTTGCTCGCCGAAATCTATAATTTATTTTGTAATGCAGCAAATCATTTTTATGAAATCTAGAGTCCTGGCCAGAATTTTAAGGAGCCAATAGAATGTTTTTCAAATATATAAATAAAAACAGAACAACAAAACAACAATATTTCGGTTAACGGATCTGAATTTTGTAAATCGGCATTGCCAATTCGAAGTCTGTAATAGAAGCCAGTTTCAAAGTTCGATCATAAATAATATCATTCTGAAATCTTCAAAGCTTTGTCTTCTCTAAACAGGCTCCGAATACCGACTTTGGTGACCACAAACAAAACTAATGACCCTTTACTTGCCCTTGTTCAGGTCATGCACTACCTTAAGAACTCTAACTCAACTCCATGCCCACCTTTTGGTCACTGGCCTTCACAGTGACCCACCTGCCTCCAGTAGGCTTATTGAGTCCTATGCCCGAATGGGTACCCTTCAATCTTCAAGACTTGTCTTTGAAACCTTCACAAAACCTGATTCTTTCATGTGGGCTGTACTCATCAAGTGTTATGTGTGGAACAATCTCTTTGAAGAAGCCATTTCACTCTACCATAAAATGATATGCAACCACGGCCCTATTAGTAACTTCATATATCCATCGGTTTTGAGAGCTTGTTCTGGTTCTGGTGATCTGGTTATTGGTGGAAAGGTTCATGGAAGGATAATCAAGTGTGGATTTGATAATGATGATGTTGTTGAGACTTCACTTGTTTGTTTGTACGGTGAAATAGGCTGTTTAGACGATGCAAGGAAAGTGTTTGATAAAATGTCTGTGAAAGATGTGGTTTCGTGGAGTTCCATTATTAAGTGTTGTGTTAATAATGGGAAGGTTGATGAAGGACTCGAGATACTTCGTCTAATGATCATTGAAGGTCTTCAGCCGGATTATGTGACGATGCTTAGTGTGGCTGAGGCCTGTGGCGAATTGTGTTTTCTGAGACTAGCGAGTTCTGTTCATGGTCACGTATTGCGGAGGAAGATTAAGATTGATGGACCATTGGGTAATTCTCTTATTGTAATGTATAGTAAATGTAATGATTTGTCAAGTGCTGAGAAGGTTTTTTTCACGTTGAAGAAAAGGTGTACTACTTCATGGACAGCAATGATTTCTTGCTACAACAGAAGTGGTTATTTTCGAAAAGCTTTAGATGTTTTTGTTAGGATGCTTGAGGTTAGAGCGGAACCCAATTCAGTAACCTTGTTATCTATCTTAGGTTCATGTGCAGGGTTAGCCTGGCTTAGAGAAGGGAAGTCGGTTCATTGTCATATTATTAGAAAAGATATGGAATCCGAGTCTGATTGTTTGGGGCCAGCATTGATTGACTTTTATGCTGCATGTGGTGAATTGATAAAATGTGAGAAGGTTCTTCGTATACTTGGAGAAGGGAATATCATATCGTGGAATAAGCTCATGTCAGAATATGCTCATAAAAGATTGTTGAAGGAAGCATTAGCAGTCTTTGCCCAGATGCAGGCACAGGGTCTAATGCCAGACTCATTTAGTTTGGCAAGTTCTCTGTCCGCTTGTGGAAATGTGGGTTTTTTGCAGCTTGGGCTTCAGATACATGGTTTCATCATTAAAAGAGAATTTTCAGATGAATTTGTCCAGAATTCACTGATTGATATGTACTCCAAATGTGGTCTTGTGAATTTAGCATGCACAGTATTTTATGGGATCCAACAGAAAAGCGTTGTAACGTGGAATTCTATGATTTGTGGATTCTCCCAAAATGGCTTTTCAGTTGAAGCAATCAATCTTTTTCGTCAAATGTACTTGAACAGTCTTCAGATGGATGAAGTGACCTTCTTAGGTGTACTTCAAGCTTGCTCCAATTTGGGTCATCTTAAAAAGGGAAAATGGGTTCATCAGATGCTCATTTGCTATGGCATAAGGAAGGATATTTATATTGATACAGCACTAACTGACATGTATGCAAAGTCTGGAGACCTTCAAACGGCTCAAAGAGTCTTCAATAGCATGTCGGAGAGGAATGTGGTATCCTGGAGTGCCATGATCGCGGGTTATGGAATGCATGGTCAGCTAAGGGCGGCCATCTCACTCTTCAAGCAAATGCTAGAATCCGGAATAAAACCCAATGAAGTTACCTTCATGAACATTTTATGGGCTTGCAGTCATTCAGGTTCTGTGGAAGAAGGGAAGGTATATTTTAACGCAATGAGGGATTTTGGAGTTGAGCCAGATTCAGAACACTATGATTGCATGGTTGACCTTCTAAGCCGCACTGGTTATATCGACGAAGCATATCAAATGATCCACTCGATGCCATTCCCTGCTGACGCTAGCATTTGGAGTGCTCTTCTTAACGGGTGCAGAATCCACAAAAGAACAGATATGATTAACATCATTGAAAAAGACCTTTCAGATATTAGTACAAGCGATCCTGGATACTATACTATATTATCTAATATATATGCCGAAGAAGGAAACTGGAATAAATTTGGGAAGGTGAGATCAGTTATGGATGGTTATGATCTACGGAAGGTCCCTGGATACAGTAGGATTGAGCTTGATACTGAGAATTCATTGGTTTAGAGGTGGTAATTTATTTCAGAGACCAAGGAAATGTACAGAATTTTGGCAACTTGAAAATTTTAATACACCAAAAGAAAAGGTTTGGTGGCTGACAATAGTGTATCTCCCACAGAAAGAAACAGTCACTTACAGCTGCAAGCTGGCGATTGCTTTGGGAAAGACCAATAGCAGTAATCTCTCCCCTTTCTTCTTTCTTCTTTCTTCTGATTAGTCATTCTTTCCCAGGAATCGTCCAAAATCATAGGTAGAGTGGTTGTCACAGAGAGTTTTGACTCGGTTTCATCATTTTATGAATGGTATGTTGAGGTTATGGAAGCACCCCTGGTTACTCCCAAGTCTCCATCAAAGCAACGATGACAGAAGACAGATTAGGTCGGTCTTATTCTGATGTACAGTACTTTCATTTGTACTATGGTATTTACATAGACCTAGACAGGGATGACTAAATATATTCTGACATTTGTAAGTGAAAATTACGTGCAAGGATAGAGTAGCTGGATGTGTAGCATTTCTCTGCTGCTGGAAAGAGTTTTATGCTGTTGCTTCCCACTCGAGACAAGCAAAACGTACTGAGAAGTCCGTGATTTCTGATTCCTAATTAATTGACAAAACTGTCACTGACGTACCCCATGTATCATTCATGCTTTGTGTTCCTATTGAAAGAAAAACAGTGAACTCTAATCAAAGATATATATATAAAGTTAAGAATTAAATAAATGCGACCAAATCAATGCACAAAGATACAAGAGCATATCTCAAAAGAAGACAAAAAATCTCAATCAAAATATGGAAAACATTCACAAAAACCGCAAATGACACAAAAAGAGCACACAAGTTCCTCTCAAAAATTTAGTCAGGTAAATATCATATCAAACGAAACTGAATTGAGATTTCATACTTGGGCGTTAAACCCTAAACTTTGGCTTGTACTAAATCACATATAACCAACACAATCTCTCTACGAAAGCTGCAATGTTGATGGAATACACGATTATTCCGTTCATACCACAGAAAAGAGAGATCCCTTCTATTGTAAGTTGAAGGAGCACAATTTGATGGCAAGCATAATTAAAACTTTAATGGTTAGTTTGGTTTAGGATGATTATCAGTTGTTGTTGTGCATACCACAGATGCTGGTGTGCATGAATCCGTTATCTTTACACAGTCACAGGCACATTCGTCGAGAACGCCAGCATTGGTCCAATGAAAGTTCATAGCAGAACAAACTTGTTGAAAGTTGAAACATTCCATAACAAATTCCCTTCAATAATCTTCTATAGTGTTAGTGACTGTAAGCTTTACAGCTTTGAATCGCTTTAATAGCTGTTGGAGATCCCACATCGACTATGCACACTCAAGCCAATGAGTTTATAAGAGTGGACAATCCTCCCACTTAATAAGGCCTTTTGGGTGAGGAGTTGGGCCCAACTCTAACAACTGGTATCAGAGTCAGCGCCATTTGAGCTAAGTGATTCACCAGCGGTGAGCTACCAAACTATCTCCATTCATAAGCAAATGGACCATATGGGCTGGACCGTGAGGGGGAGTGTTGGAGATCCCACATCGACTAGGCACGCTCAAGCTAATGGGTTTATAAGAGTGGGCAATCCTCCCACTCAATAAGGTCTTTTGGGTGAGGAGTTAGGCCCAACTCCAACAATAGCTACACCTAATTAACTCCAGCTTGGTGAGTAAGATCTATTGAACCCAACTAAGCAACAGATGCCACCCTAGAACATGACAAATCATCAGCAACATCCAAATCCACTTGGCTACACCCAGGGGACTTGCTCAAACCTCTCAGCCTCATCAACTCTCTCACTTGATTAACTTGACTCCATCTTCCATCAGAAGCATACAGGTTAGACATGAGCACATAATAACAAGCTTTATCAGGATGCAACTGTAGCATTCTCCTAATCACCACCTCCCCAAGATCAAACCTTGAATACATTCCACATCCATGTAGGAATGCTCCAAACAAACTAACATCAGGTTGAACAGGCATATTCTCTATAAAGTCCAAGGCCTCTTCCAGCCTGCCAGCACGAGCCAATAGATCAACCATACACGTATAATGCTTCATGGAAGGCACAAAGTTGAAGTCCTGGCACATTGAATAGAAATACTGCCAGCCCTCCCCAACCATCCCTGTATGACTACAGGCAGACAAAATTGTTGTGAAGATTACTTCGTTAGGCTGCACTTCATCCTTCAACATATCACTGAAAAGTGCAAGGGACCCACTACCATCCCCTTGCATTCCATAGCCACCAATCATTGCACTCCATGTTACAGTGTTTTTCTCTCCCATGTCATCAAAAACCATACGAGCAGATTCAGCATCTCCACATTTGGCATAGAAGTTCAATAAGGCAGTGCCAACATAGACATTTGATGATAGTAGGCCCTCTTTTATGGTGAATGCATGAAGAGAAGAACCAACTTGGAAAGTACCAAGTGAAGCACAAGCTGAGAAGATGACCACCAATGTGACTGCATCAGGTGTGATAGAATCTGATCTCATTCTATGCAACAATTCAAGTGGTTCATATGAATACCCATTTTGGGAATACCCAGATATGATTGAATTCCAGGCAATTACATTCTTGTCCGAAACTGTCTCAAATATGTAACGAGCATCTTCAATCATGTGGCACTTGGCATACATGTCTATTAGAGCATTGAACACTGTTGGATCCTCAAATCCAAGTTTAATCCCAAGACCATGTAATGTCTTTCCCAGATTCAAATTCCCCAGCTGTGCACATGCTGAAAGTAAACTTGTAATGGTAACACAATTGGGAAAAACTCCAACCCATTTCGCATCTGTAAACACTTTTAAAGCCTCGTCAGGATAGCCTCTTTGAGTATATCCAACAATCATTGCTGTCCACGATACAAAATCAATAGTGGAAAGTCCATCAAAAACCGATCTAGCATCTCTAATGTCCCCACACTTCACATACATATCTAAAAGAGCCGTCACCAAGATAGAATTAAGTTCAACACCAATCTTGATCACATGCCCATGAATCCACTTCCCCTGATGCAAAAACCCTAACTTTGTGCACGCGGTAACTAAGCTCCCTAATGTAAATTGATTGCCTTCAATAAATACTTCCCTCATCTGATTAAACAAAATCAATCCTTCCCGTGCACGGTCATTCTGTACATACCCCACAATCATTGAAGTCCATGAAACCACATTTTTATCGACTGTTTCATCAAACACTTGACGAGAAAAATCAATTTCTCCACACTTAGCGTACATGTCGACAAGACCCGTCAACACAAAATCATCAGGACTTCCTGCCTTAACAACTTCACAATGCACCTTCCTCCCTTGATCAATATCTCGCAATTCACTACACGCCTTTAACACTATCGAAAACACAACATTATCATGCTCTTTGACGCATTTTCTCATACTATTATAAAACTCCACAATCTCTTTGTACAAATCATTCAAAAAGTACCATCTCATCATCACTTTAAAAGAATAAAGATCTGGGTCTCGCATTCGATCAAACACCAGACGAGCATACTTGACATGGCCGAAAGAACCATACATGCTAACCAGTTTAGTGTTACATTTAACGTCATCAGCTAAGCCGTCTACAATAAGCAGAGCATGCATTCTTTTCAGAGAAAAGATGTTTTTGCAGATGCCCAGAAGAGAAAAAAGGGGAATTGAAGCAACGGTTTGATGTGGGTCTAGACGTGGAGTTGAGTAAGATAGAAATTTGAGTTGAAGAAAGGGTTTTCTGGAGCGATGTAGGAAAGAGACGAGTTTCATCATTTCTTGTTGGAGTTGTTTTATGTGTCGTTGAAGAGTTGCACTCTCACTCCCTCCGCATGTTGGCAGGCAAACTGATACTGAGAAACAAAAAGATCAATTTCGTTCTATATTTTCTGAGTCAGCGTCAGTGTCACTTTTATATGGAAGCCCAACCATACCATATGGTCCATACCATGTCAATTGTTTTCCTTTGACCAAGAATGTTGTATTAACAAAGAGTTCATTACAATTTTCTCCCTTCCGATGCTGTTGGCATTTTATCAGGTTTCCGTAATTAATTTAGGAAAATGATAGAGTTACCGAAAAGTGTATACCGAAATTGTGCACCGAATGACGTGGTAAAATCCTGACCGTTGATTAATATTAACTTATAATGAATCAACGGTCAGGATTTTGCCACGTCATTCGGTGCACACCCGTCGGTAACTGTAGCATTACTCATTAATTTAAGGAATTGAGTGTAAAATTTGTTTATGATAAGAGTTTTATTTCGGATCCTAAAGGGAAAATTGATATTTAGAATTGGTTTAATCTATTTTAACACAAATTCATAGTTAGGGTTTGTTGTATCAAAAATACACACTGATATCAGCACCACCAAACAGAATTCAGCAAGCACTTAAAGATAAAGCGGTATTAACTGTCATCAACCCAAACCATCTCTAAGAAATATTTTATATAAACCCTATCCCACTTTAAGAAAATGATTAAGGAGTGATCCTCACATGTCATGACAACTTGCACCTCTCTTCATGAAAAAGAGACTGGTTGGGCATATGAGAGCTAGGCAAACATTGATTCTCTGTAAACAAAACATTTTCTCTAATGGACGTAGGATTCGCTTTAAGCATCCAAACCACTTTAAAAATCATCTTCCATTTACTTCATTGTATTTTTCATTCATGTGTAATTTCTAAGCCATCTTAACACTTTGCACGTGTGAATCGCTGCTGTCAAAATCAAGCATCAACGGTTTGGCGCTAGAAGAAGTGCATGATTCACATCAACTCTCCATGTTTTTCCAACAAGCCTCAAAATCTTCACATCATCTAATGTGGAGACCTGAGCAAGATAAAGGATGAATCTAGCGATGTGATAAACACAAGAGTTGTAGCCCTTCGAGTTAGCTTTTCAATGGTCTAAGAATCATCTTACTACGAGGTTTAAAACTCAAGTTTTCGTCAAAATACTGAAGCATGTTCTAGATTAGAGCTCTCGGATCGCATGTAAGATTGCAGATCGCACGCATTAGAGCTCTCTAGTCACGCGTTTAGATTGCAGATCGCATGCTCAAATCACTCTAATCTTCAGCTTTAGATCGCTCTGATCTTCAACTTCAAATCACTGATCTTTAGCTTTAAATCGTGTGGTCAGATCAAAGATCACACACTCAGATCGCTCAAATCTTCAGCTTCAGATTGTTGATTTTTAGCTTCAAATCGCGTGGTTAGATCTAAGATTACACGCTCAAATCGCTCTGATCTTCAGCTTCAAATCACGTGGTCAGATCGAAGATCACTATGATCTTCAGCTTCAAATCGCTCTAATCTTCAGCTTCAGATCGCATGGCCAGATCGCAAATCACACACGTCAGAGCTCTTAGATCAGATTGAAGATCGCACACTCAGATCGCTCTGATCTTCAGCTTCAAATCGTTGATCTTTAGCTTCAGATCGCGTGGCCAGATCGCAAATCGCACGTGTCAGAGCTCTCAGATCGAGTGGCCAGATCGCACGCTCAGATCATCCAAATCGCGCGTTCAAGATCGTTGAGATCACGCGTTCAGATCATCTAGATCATGCTGCCGAGTGCTGATAGATCAAGCTTCGCGCTTTCTGATCGAACTTCTTCTGTTCTCAGATCAAGTGTTTCGCGCTTTTTGATCAAACTTCTTCTGTTCTCAGATCAACCTTTGCGCTTTCTGATCGAACTTCTTATGTTCTCATATCAAGCTTCACGCTCTCTGATCGAACTCTTTCTATTTTCTTATTAAACTCCTTAAACTCTTAGATCACAAAAAGTCTCGAATTCTGAGATCGAGCTCCATATGATCTCAGATCAAGCTCTTTATGCTCTTAGATCGAGCTTCTTATGTTTTATGATTGAGCTTATAAACTCGCTCATTTGCTTGAGATCGCACGTTACGGATCATTCAGATCGCATGCCTCAAGCTCTCAGGTTAAGCCCCTATCAAATCGTTATCAGCTCTTAGCTCTAAGATTGCGAACAGCCTCAGATCATGTTCTCAGCTCTCAGATCGCGATTAGTTCTTAGTTCTCAAATCACGATCAGCTCTTAGCTCTCAAATCACGATCAGCTCTTAGCTCTTAGCTCTCAAATCGCGATCAGCTCTGAGATTGCGAACAGCCTCAGGTCGTATTCTTAGTTCTCAAATTGCTATCAGTTCTCAGTTATCAGATCGCGACCAGCTACCAACATTAGAAAAAACGCGTAGAAAACTGAAAACAGCCCCGAAATATGCCAAAATGATGGATTTTGGCCCCGAAAATGGTCCCAACCAGGTTCCCTTACTACCACGATGTAGAGCTCAAAACAAGATTTTCATGGATATCTTACGAGCTCCAAAATTCCTCCCGGATCAAAAGTTATGGTTGTTTTAAGTTGGCTTGTCCGTTTAAGGCCTCTAAGTCGTGTGTTTGGGCTTCTGGCATCGGCTCTCTTCAGGAATTCATCTTCTAGAAATTTTATGTCAATTATCAGATCGCGCTCAGCTTCGGATCGCCCCAGGCGCTCAGATCGCAGTCCTAGCTCTCAGCACCCGATTATGCCAGGCATAGTTCGAGCTCTTCAGTTCAAGATTGTAGCCTATAATGCCACAGCCATTTAGATCTAAGACATGAGTTTTTGGAGTACATAATAAAACTTGGGGAGTTCTGTTGCGCCAAAAATACACACTGATGTTAGCACCACCAATCAGAGTTCAACAAGCACTTAAAGATAAGGTGGTGTTAGCTATCATCATCCCAAACCGCCTCCAAGATATATTTTTATATCAACCCTATCCCATTTTAAGACAAGGATTAAGGAGTGGTCCCCACGTATTATAACAACTTGCAAAAGCACTCATTACATTGACCTCAAAGATGTATAAATGTGCACTTCTCTTCATGAAAAAATGGGTTGGTTGGGTATATGAGAGCTAGGCAAACATTTGAGCTTTATTATTTTTTTCTCTGTAAACAAAGCATTTTCTCTATTTTTGTATGCTTTACAAGCAATATCAGAAAAAAAGTCAGAGAATAATAAAATAACAGTGGATGTAGATTCTCTTTAAGCATCTGAACCACTTTAAAAATAATCTTCCATTTACTTCATTGCATTTTTTATTCACATGTAATTTCTAAGTCAGCTTAGCACTTTGCACGTGTGAATAGTTGGTGTAAAAATCAAGCATCAACAGAGTTAGTTAATTTTCAATACCAACTAAGCAATTTTCATAAATCTGTATTATGGAGTATAAATTTTATGAATTTATAAGAATCATGGCATGGAGAATAGTATAGGTCCAAGTTGAATAAAACCAGTTGGACCATGACATGAAGATGTCATGTTACCTTCAATTTGATATATATATCCATGTTCACTAAGTTGTTTATTTATTTATTTATTTATTTTGGTAACCGGGTTATTTAGGCCAATTTGCGCGTACCTCAACTAATTATCGAGATCCATTGAACACCTCATAAGCCCAATCACAATGTGATGGGTGGCCCCAAAGTTTGAACCCAAGAACTCAATAAAGGAAGCAAACTTTATTGACCGCTAAGTCAAGCCTTGGGGTTATGAGATGTTTATTTTGATTACTACATTAGTTTTATTTTCTTTTACGTTTTCTCTAAGAATTGATGAGAGAAGATAAATTAAAGGTTATAATTATAAATGTTAACAAGTTTCCACTAGTCATGTACTAATCAAATTCAAGATAGTATTGTTTTATTATTTTGAGTAATATTTTTGAAAGAAATTGAGTTGTGTTGTTATTACGAGAATAAGATTTGAATTTGAAAATGTGTTTGGAAAAATTATTTTTTAATCCCCTATATTTGTTAATTTAGTTAAACACCCTCTACAATAAAAGTTTTAAAATTAACAAAAACATCTCCACCCACCCATTAATTGCTGGCAGTCGACCACTAGCTGTCGGGAATATGTGGATAGGTAGGGTTATTTTTATCAATTTATAAACTTTCATTGTTTGGGGTGTTTAGTTAAGTTAACAAACTTAAGGGGTTAAAAAAATCTAAATATTCTAAGTTGAATAGAATTGAATTAGATTTTGAAAGTAATGAAACAAACATATATTTTGAATACGATAAGATATAAATAATAAAACAAACACAACCATAATAATAAAGAAAAGATATCACCCAACATTTGCACTGCATCTACTCTAATTAAAAATGTTATAATAATTTATAGTATTCAACAAATATAATTTTAGTAAATATTAAATAAATGATAGTGTGTGATAATTAAAATACAGTCTAAGTAATTAGATGAAGAGATTAATTAAATTATTTGAAAAATGTAGTTAATTGGTTGATTAGTAATAGAGTGGTGGTGGTATCAGCATCCATTTGGAAATGGTTCCCAGAAGAATAAAGAAAAAATAAAAATAAAAAGGTGTATAATATTTTAAGTGGAAAGTAGATATGCATAAATAAAGGAGGGAGGGAGGGAGGGAGAAAAGTGGAAATAAAGAAAAAAAGGACAAGAAGGGTATTTTGTTTAAAATTTGATTGGGTAGTTGAATCAGTATCTGAATCTATTTGGTAATGAGTAGGACCAGACCTTCATTCACCGACACACTTCTGCTTCTCTAAATTACAAAACTTAGATCTTCTTCTTCTTTTTCTGTTCCCACCCACGCTCCTTCCTGCGCGTGTTCCACTTCCCTTCTTATTTTTCTCTCTCACTATGTCACATTATCTCATACTAGTAAAATTAGTAAGAAATTTCAACAAGTATTATATATATATATATATAAAGTAAAATTATATCAGTTTATTTAAAATTATTATCTGAAAATGTGATATTAATTCATGATACAGTACTATAATCTCAATATATGCTTCTTTTTAAAATTCAAATGTTATACTTTATTAAAGCAAGTTAAATGAAAGCTAAATCTGATTTATAATTCTTTTATTTTATTTTTTTTCTCATTATTAGAGTGCCTTTCAGATTCCTTGTTTTTATTGTTTCAACTTTTCATTGAAAGTGAATATTAGGATTGTCAGTGTAATTAAAGAAAGGAAAGGACAGGTGGGACAAAGAGTTTGCCATATTTCTTAACACTAAAACGAACAAACAACATAATTATGCTTACATTACATGTGCCCTCTTTTGCCTGTGTTATGTACACACTTGGACCCACGCAAATTATAGGTTTTCAGGTTTCAGCCGCTTGATCATTTATTACTAGGAAAATCATCTGCAGTAGTACTTTGTCATTCATCCCTGGTAAATCTAACATTTGAATTTATTAGTAATCAAAAGATTGGATAACATCTGTTAATATATGCTACTTTGTTTGGATTGGAGAACGTTCACATCAATTGCATATTTTGAAGAAGAAGAAGATTAATGTTTCCATAAGCTTCAAATTTCACCTCCTTCACATTAATTAACGTTAGAGGTATGGTGCTATTATACATTCAAATTGGTACTCAATCTCTGTCTTTTATATATTAACAGGGTCCCCTTGGCCTTGGACCAAGTGGTCGACCAGAAACAGCTAATACTATGAACAAATTACTTCTAAATCAGAGATCATTCCTAAAAAAACAAAGTTGGTATATATCCCTGAAGAAATCATGCAACATTATTTATGAATAATACAAAGTTGGTAACCATCCAAAGACAAGATAATTAAGGGAACCCAAATTATGGGCTATGAAATGTACAAAGACAATCCCCATGCCTCACAATAACCTCACTCCCCAAAACCCATAGAAACAACTCCCTACTTCCCTCTATAAAATGCTCAACTACTAAAACAAAAGCCAACTTCCCATATTACGCCATCGGGAGAGGCAGATTACCTGCAGGGCATCTTTGCCGGCGAGGTCGTCTAGTTGTTTTCCCCCACCCTGTTAGGCTTCTATCGTCCAGTCCCACTTCAATATTAGTAAGTTGTGGCATCAATGGAGTGCAAGTGCCAGCTATCACAACAGGAGAGGGACTTACTACAGACCGCCGCCTCCCCCTTGCACACCCACTTCTAGTGGAGTTCCTTCTTGTCAATCCTGAGTGCCACGTGTGACCAGTTGCTCTCATCAGTCCTCCAAATGTCTGAAGGTCTTCTGTCACCTCATGCCTTGATAAAGAAGCAAGGCCTGGAAGGATGTCCCTTTGGAAGTCCCTCCGCTGCCTCCCTCTTCTTGCCTGGCCCTTTCGAGTCCGATTTGGTAATAAGGTGGTTCCTGCTTCTTCCACTTTGAAGTCTTCTGGAACCAGGGGCTTGGGCATGTAATCTTCTTCCTTTGTCTCTGTCAATTTCAATGTCATGGACTCAAAGTAATCAATTTCTTCCGATAACGATTCCTCATTAGTCTCGCCATCTCTGCCTCTCCAAACAGCATCCAACTTGCTTTCAAGATCATCTACACAAGATGAAACTATCTCAAGTATCTCCACAAACCAATTAAGAGGGTCCTTCACAGAAGCTTCAGATGAATTACAAGTGGCATCATCCAAATGATCATAAGGACCAGATGATGAGATGGAAACTATTGCCTCAGCCGCTCCTCTGACAAGTTCATCCTGCAACAGTTCAGTTTTTGGTTGCAGAAATTCTACAGGTGCTTCCTGTGACTTTTGTGGATTTTCTGCTCCATGCATGACATCGTCCTCAGTCTCAAGATCTATTGGGGCTTCCAAATCAATCCCTCCAGTCTTCACAGCAGTGCTCAGAACAGTTGGCATCAATGAAGCTTCATCCTCACTCACACATGAGTTCAGATCAATGTGATGTCTGAAACTGGCAACCTTCGCTTCTGGTTTCTTCTCTATGACCAGTTCATCATCAGCAATCTCTTGGCTCAAGTCAGCAACAGCAGTATCACAAGGCAAGTTAATATCAAGCACTCTATTTTTCCTATTATTTTCCACTTCAACTACAGATGGAGGAGGGATGCACACAGAAGGGGAGGTGAGAGATGAAGAATCATTCTTAGAAGTATGAGACTTTTCAAAAAGGGGAAACCCAAGAATTTTCCTATCACTCAAGAATTCACTTCTTTCAACCCTACTGGCCTCAATATTATTGGAATCTGAACCTGACTTCAAATTCTGAGTAAATATTTGGTTATTTCCAGGTTCATTTTTATTCACTGACTGATTCAAAGAAGGCCGCAAAAAACTCAAGTCCCCAACATTCAAATCCCTCTCAGAACCGGTCGCCTCATGCTTACAAGAGGACTTAGCTCTTAACCAAGGCAGCACGGCAAGATAGTCCTCATTCTTCCTTCCTCCATCTTTCAATTCAAGGCTTTGGCGGGGAACTGCCTCTTGTGAGCTGTTAGAAAGCACCACATTCAAGTTACCATCTTGTGCAGACTTCATATCCACGCTACTTGAACCTTTGTAGAACTTTGCAGAACCATGGTTGATGACACGCTCAGAGGCAACATTATTTTCATGGCCATAGTTCAGATGATTATAACTGACTGAAGGGGCTAGAACCATATGTTCCTTGGATCCTGATGAGGACCCATAGTAAAAACCATTCCGGTTAGGCAATTCACCTTCAACACTTGAGTTTGGTCTTGGATTGCTGTTAAGATTCCACCTGTCTCCAAAAATCCCATATGTCTGAGCAGCAGTCTGAGGACTCCTACTCAAGGTACCAGATGAATTCAAATATGGGTGTGTCTGGACTGACATTGACTTCTGGTTTAAGCTACCACAAGGCTTTTCCCAAGCTGAAACTGAGTGAGGCCAAGAGTTGAACAAATCAGAAGATGAAGCAACTGAATAGGAACTGGGTATATTAGAAGCTACACCAGATTCGGGATGGTTATTGTTGGAATGGTTTCTTTCAGAAATTTCAAAACCACGAATTGTCCTCTCTCTCCATGGATCCACCTTGGTTTGATCAGTTAGCAAAAAAACAGGAGGTTCATGAGCTTTGTTAAGTAGACCCTGTGTTGACTGGGAAGATATAGATGACTTCTCATATTGAAGACCTTGAGAAACAGACATCAGGTTACTTTTAGTGGGCCCTGAGAACAGCAACCACATAAAGACATCAGAACTAAACTGAACAATCTTAAAGGATATAAATGCAGAAAACTCAAGACAGACAAAGATCTCAGTAGATATTTTTCCAGATAAATGAAAGCCACGACAGCCTTCTAATGCACTTATTACATGGCATGACAGCGCATATGAGCTTGTCTGTAAGCGAAAGAAAAGAACAAAACAGAATTTTTTTTTCTTTTTGCCAACTATAAATTTATATATGATTGTCTTCCACTCCCATGGAACAAAATATCAAATAGCAATCTGGGTATGCATTTTATGTCCAAAGCAAAAAAAAAGTTGGGATGATGCTAAATCTGAATGATGACCAAAAAAATTGTTGGAACTTCAAGGAAAAAAGAGGGGGGGGGGGGTACCTGTTTCTATCACATTAGAAAACCAGCTTCTACCATTTTCAATCTCTATATATCTGTTGTTTGGGGTCCCATTATTGCTTACATGATGGGAGTTCAGAGAAAAATCCTTAGGCAAACCTTGAAGCTGTGGCATTGTTTTAGTAGACAGTTCATGACCTTTAATTTCCCCATTACAGGAGGCATGGCTCAGAAGATCAAAATAAGCAGAAGTATTTGTCTCTTCAACTGGAATAGGCTCATTTAAGTCAGCTAAACTGTTTGTGCTTCTTAAATATGAATCAGATCTTGAAGCATTTTGCTGGCAACCAGACTTCTCCCCATCACCAGCAAACAGCTTGACACCACTATTAGATGTGATTTTATGATTTCCATTGGGAAGATAACTCGAAGAGCCAGATATTGTTTCATCCCTGAACTGTTCCCCATCTTCAGTGTCGATGTATTCATCAGCTGGAAGTTGAAGATCAATCATCTTTCTCCTGACCTTCGTGGGTCTGGACTCCAGAAGCTCAACATCCTTTGAACTACCACCATTTTGGAAAGGTAAGGGAACAGCTTGTGTACAGCTTCCTTTCATGGAACTTAAAGGAGAATGAATGTCTTCAACACCTGAAATTGATGGTCTTGCAACAACAGAGTTCGCTAAAGGGAAGCTGGGGATATGCCATTTCCGAGCATCTTCAGATGTAATTTGCGAGGTCAAGGGGCTCGCCGAATATGATGTCTCGACAGGTATCCGATGCTTATGTTGTTCTTTCCTTTTTACTTCATCCATCAAGTCCCTTTGTATTTGGTATAACCGATGAAGTTCAAACACCTGGATGATGACAGAGAATTCAAATACATGCATATGTCAAGAAAGTAAAGCAAATACATAATCAGAAAAAGGGTCAAACTGACTTTGATTAAACCCTATCAGGGCAAGACCATTATACATTAAAATCACACCATGCATCCTATAGTCGTAATAAAAATCATATGATCAGGGAAAAATAGTGGGAATAGACATACCTGTTTCTTGAAAACGGCCTCGTGCTGAAGCATTGTCTGCCTAACTAAATTTTTTTCATACCCAGAATATGCCTCTGCAGCAGCCCTAGGCAAGAAACCACTGTAATACTGCCCATTTGTCAACGTTTTATCTCCATAATAAGATGGCCAGCTACAACTGTTAGATTCCTGATTAAGATCCCTCATTGGGTAATATCCTGGCAAATAGCTTTTACACTGGACTTTTGTTCCCATTCCTGCAATCAGTTAAGAAGTATTAACATGTCAAATATAACACAAATCAATAAAAGAAGTGCTTAAAATTAGTAGGCTATAAAATAATTAGCTTCTCCAAAAGAATTTAATTAGTAAAACTGCTCATTCTAATCTCCACGTGACTTGTTTTATGGAGAATAATCAAGAACTTGTGGGAAATAGCAAGTTTCCTTAAAGGATTTTAGTTATTCCTAATCATGCATTGTGTGCACACACACATCCAACATACCTAGTCTGTTGTAAGATAATGTTAGATACTTGCATTAACTAATGGCCCACACTTATGAATTCCCCACCATTAAAAACTCAATCAGGCCATGAATGGCAAGGCTTACTTTCATTTCATCTAGTTCATCAGGAACACAACTAGATCTGCTCGGCACCCTTGAAAGTATGAAAAATTATACTTATTAAATATGAAATGATATAATTTAGCTGACATGGAAAAATTATTATAACTTCATTAAAAACAAATTCAATGAAATGCAAGTCAGAGAACTAGCATTCATTTTCCTGTTGACCAGGGAAGTCACCAGCAATCCAAGCAACTATTCTGAAGTGGCACGACAGGCACAATGATTTCAAGAACCTTATGTTGTTGGGTGTATGGTTTGATGACAAGACATAAATCAAATCATATAAAAGGAGTCAGAAAAACCATAATATAACTTTCATTTGCTTAGAAGGGTATGGCCAGCAAGTGTGCCCAACAAGACCAAATTATATTCTATTATATATCGCTATTAGACCAAGGAATTCACACATCAGCAATCTCTTCACTTCCTTTGAAGCTAAAATGAACACAAGAATTGGTGTAGGAACATCTTGACCACTGCTATCAGAATCACACACATACAATTGGGAACTACTTGTAAACTATAACCTAGAACACCATTATATCCGCATATATCTTTACATGTCTAGAAATCCACATTAGAGACTGTATTTCACAGAATTGCAAACAAACTGGAAAATTAAGAAACCCAATTATCAAAAAGATCAATTCTACTTTATCAACGACTATATCAAGACAATTACCCCAAAAAAACGACTCTATCAAGACAAAACAAAAAAAAAAAACAAAAAAAAGATGTTAAATTGTTAACAAATGTTAATAGAACGGATCCTATGCAACTGCAATCTAAACCAATGACATGATAGCAAATATAAACAACCAAACTTTACCTTACTAAAAACTAAAATCACCCATCAAATCGAATTATCATCAAACCAATCCAGAAACCAAAAATAATAGAATTAACCAATTATATAAGATTAAAATAACAATAAGGTAAGTGTATTAAGCTGCAGTGATAGATAAATGCATAAACCCAAATCATCAGAAAAAAAAAATAATAATAAATAGTAAGTTATATATAGTGTTAAATTAATTGAAGTATAAAGTAAAATAAGAATAAAAAATAAAAATAAAAATAAAATTTACCTCAGACCCACATCCTCTAATCACCCCTCCTTGAAGAATCCACCATAGATTCAATGAATTGAGGAGAAACTCAACATGATGTAAAACAAATTGAGTCCAAAGTGAACACTATCAACCCAAGATAAAGCTGAAAAAACAATAATTATACAATAAACAAGAAAGTGGGTATTTTCTCAACACCATTGAAAAAGCTTAGATCGTCATCTAGGAGGAGATTTTGATCTGCTGGGCCACTCTCTCTCTCTCTCTCTCTTTCTCTCTTAACACAAAAAGAGTTAAAATTATTTTTAATTAAAATTTGTAGAGAGAGAGTGAGTTCTGTGTTTGTTTTTTAGAGAGAAAGAGAGAGATCCCAGATAAGAAATCTTCACACAAACAAACGACCTTCTAAGAACAGTGACATGAAATTTGTCAACATCCGGTCTCTTTTTATTCTCTGCTTTTTCTTCACTTCTCTCTTCTCTTTTTTTCCATTTATATATACATATTTTTTTTCTTGGTTTTTGAGATTTTATTTAGAAATGGGAATTTCTTGATTCTCTCCACCTTTCTTGCTTTTGGTATAGATATTATTAATCTACTAAAATTAAATATTCGAATATCTAGAAATATAAATATATTTTATTCGAAATTAGAAAAAATGTAAAAGGAGTTTGTTAGTGTTAATGAAGAGTAATTAATTTAGTGTTAAAAAAAGATTGTAGAAATTCCTAATCAAGTAGTGATTAATTGGTTAATCCAACAGAGCAGACAACAGTGGGACCCAAATGAAACTGTGGAAAGGATGAGGTTAAGGAGATAATAAATGACATCAAAAGTTGGAGATATTTACGAGATTAGGAATTGATACTTCTGGTTGATTTTGATTGGCTGATCCTCTGTGTTCTTAAACACACAGAAAAAATAAAAGTCTAATTGTTAGGACTGTACGTTTTTTCCTTAATAAAATATCATTATTATGTGACCAACACGTGGCTTCTTTTTGCTGCATATCCAGATCCCCCTAATCTTACTGTTACCGTTACTCTTACACTACCCCACACGTCAATTAGAATGTTTAAGTACTTCATTTCCTAATTTCAAATATAATTATTACATGAAAAATCTTTTCTTTTTCATTTTTTTAATTAAACTTATTTAAATTAATATAAGAATACTTTATTACAAACATAAATCCATATATATTTGGAATAATAATTTAATGAAGTTTGTTCAGAGCGGTGCATAAAATCTGGGTAGTCCTGTCACTCATAATAAAAATTTGACATGTCTGAGTTGTCACAAATTAAAGGGCTAATATACTATATCTACTCTAAGTTAATTACAAAAAACTCCCTTCAAGTTTAAGTATTTTTTTTTTTTTTTTTTTTTTTTGGTTTTTTTTTTTCTTTTTTTTTTTATTTTTACTTTTTTTTATTTTTTTTTTTTTTTTTTTTTTTTTTAAATTTTTATATTTATTTTTATTACTATTTTATTTTTATTTTTAATTTTTAATTTTATATTTTTAATTTTATATTATATATTTTTTTTTTTTTATCTTTTTGGGGTTAAGTTTAAGTTATATTTATACATAAATTTCTAAGAAAGTGTACAATATTTAGTGATAAAAGTAACTAAAGTTTACTTAAAATATGGGAATTATTGTCATTATGGATTAATCATAAGGTTATTATAATCCGCTATTAATGTTTAATTAGAGAGAAAATTCTATGGCATAGGAAAACGTTTCCCCCTTTTAATTGATTATTGGATAACTATTTGACTTAAATGCTAGCTGCTCCACAATTTATTGAAACAAAAAAAAGGGTGTCCAGATTTTAAAATTAATAATTTTATGGTTGATTTAAAGTTTATAAAACAACAAAAGGAGTGGGCAGTTGAATAGGTGTTAAGACTAGGAGGGCAGATTTTGGTACATGAGAATTTATTATCAGATTTACATGTACTTATACCTGACTGTCACAAATAATGCATTCCATTTGGTATTGTTTTTTTATTTATTATTACTATATAGTAATAAATAAACAAACAAAATATGACTAATGGGCAACTCAAATCGATCCGGACCACAAGATGAAGGAATGAAAGGCAGCCCAATCCTGACAAAAAAATAAAAAGAAAAATGGATTGAATGGTCCGTCCATTTATTTAACAACAGGGAGTATATGATAAAATGTGGCCTATGTCATCATCACATAATTAAGTTTTTTTTTATTATTTAAAAATTGAATAATGAGAATATTAAGATAAGATGTTTTGATTTGTGAAACTTAATTAATTAAATTAAAATAGAAATGGTCGTTGTCATGGAAAATGTGTGAATGTTTTTACTTTTATCAAGTTCCAACTAGTGGAAGATTTGGGTAAGTAGATGCAAAGGGTCCCCTCCCCCATGTCCCACCAACTCATACAAAATTAATATTCATTGACTTGAAAGTCTTGTTATGGTTTCATTCTTTGCTTGCTTATATTACAATCATTTCATTTTATATATTTTTTTGGTTGACCAAGGTATGAGCTCATTTGTACACACGTTAATTATCTTTCGGATCATTGAATTTAACAATCGAATAAGTCTCTAGTGGCCATCCATATTAGGGGTTGAAGTAAATCAAACTCAAAACCTCTTCAGTAATATTTAAAAATCATAATTGATTATTTGGCCACTCAGTCGTGGTTATAATCATTCACTTTTTTTTTTTTTTTTTTAAACCAAAGTGTTTTGTAATCTTGTGCGTACCTAACTAATCCTTGAGACTTAAAATACCTCACAAGCTTAATGTTTTAGGTAAACCACAAATATGATAAGTGCCATAAAGTAGTTTAAACTTTAAACCAAAGAATTCAATAAACGAAGCAAACATTCTTTACTCTAGGTTATTTTAAGGTTACATTTCCCTTTTTCTCTATCACATTTATTCCTTTTTTTTCTTTCTAAAACACATCTGAAATTGGTAATCATGATTATATGATCTCATTTTCCTCCAAAATCTAACAATCTGCCCATAAATTAAAGAAAAAATATTATCCTTAAAAAATCTATACAAAAGAGGGTTAAAAGTAGGGTGAGAGAGAAAAAAACAAAGAAAAAAAAAAAAAAGAAATAATGAAGATCAAGGGTGATAATTATCTGTGTAATCCATTGTGATTTGTTCTTGTAAGGTAGCAATTCTCTAAATTAAAATCTTTAAATCATTATATTAAGATGGTTGTAAGATATACGATTCGATCATTAATTTTTATTATTATAATGAATGGAAAGCAATAAGCGGAGCGGAAACCAATACATCCAAATTTTGGTTGACTTAAAAAGGTGGGGCCAGTCACTTATTAGTATGGGTAAATTTGAGGTTACGTGGCAACCATTAACTGGAGTGATGAGTTGGGGTGATAAAAAAGTTTGGCATGTCATTAATCGAAGAGAAAAGAAAATCTTGTCATAAAGCAACTATATATAGCTGCAATGATAAAGACCTAATTATTATGGATCTCAATTATCCAATACAACTTAACCGTTACAAACCTTCAAGAATGATGTTACCTTAACGGAACGTTAACCCCCTGTAAGTTGTTAAATCCCCATTTAAACTAGAAGTATCAAATCGTCATATGATTTCTAAATTAGAGTTTTATAAAAACTAATTTAATTTTACTGTAAATTTTCCAAACAAGAAACCGTTTCATTTTTTTTTTTTTTTTTTCACTGTCTTGTCCTGGAAAGTGCCATCTATGGGTTCAATTGTCTTATTGTCATGTCACCCTTCTCTCTGAAAGAGATGTGAAAACAACAAGGCCTATTACAAATGCACATTACAGTCTATTAATACTTATGATATAACTGGTCAAAAAAAAAAAAAAAAAAAAAAAAAAAAATTACATTTGCTGAATTAATATTTAGAATGAATAAATGGGCTTTTATAAGTTGATTATTTAAGTTTATATATATTTGAAATTTGAATATACATGGAAGAGGAATATCAAATAGTGATTTGACTATAAAGGAAGATAAATAATATATCGTTACTTTACAGATAAGAGAAAATAGCTATCCAGTGATGTAAATTAGAAAAGTTAAATACCTTGCGTCTACCCAGGTGGGATCCGTTGTTAAACCGGCGTGATCTATTACGAACTGTCACATTAAGATTGCGATATTGGATTGTAGATGTAGTATTATCCATTTTGTAATTAATTAGTCAAACTAGCAGTAAAATCAATTAAAAATTTTAAGTCATTGTTTCTGGTTAAATATAATAAGAGATGAAATTACGAAGTTGATTTGTGTTTTAACATAAATCAACAAACAACAAAAGTATGATAGTAACATCATATATATATAATATACATACTTGATGGCGATCAATTGTATGCATCTTTGACCCATAAAGTCTATAAAATAATATAAATTCAAAATAAAATGGGTTAAAATGTATAATAAATAGGCATCTGGGTCATTCAATAAGTTTCCTCATTTGAAATTAGGCAAATAATTTGTTTTGGTTGCTTTCGCTTAGAATTCGGAGAAAAGAACAAAAATTCGGAAGCTGTTACATTAATTAGATAATTTTGATAGGTATCAATATCATGTGAGATTTTTGCAGAAAAAAGATGTGAAACAGAATGATACGCCTTTACCGACAAATAAAATGATCCCTAATTTTTTCTTAATATAAATAGATAATTTAGGAATAATATACATAGAAAAATAAACAATTAGGTGGGGTTTCGCATTCCACAAGTCAGGTGGGCGTATTAATATTAATAATTGCAATTAATTAATTTAAGTAGATATCATTGTGGTCTTCACATGCTGCATGCCACCAACAATTCGCCTAGTGATTATGGTAACATTTTAAATTGGTTTTTGTTAGGGTTTATATTTAGTATTATGTTCATACTAAAACTCTTCAAGTTAAGATCAATTAGGTATAACAATTTACAAAACCAATTTTGTGAGATAATTATTTTATATCTAGTGCCAACTTCCCAATATAAGAAACCATATATCTATCTATTTAATTAAATTAGTCAATGTTTTGGTTTCCTTCTTTTTTTGAATGATAGTGTCAAGACTAATTTACGTATATATTAATTAATTATCCGAAACCCTTAAACTAATGACTAAATAAGAACTTTAGAGTTTCAGTAATTACCCCTATTACTGTTAGTACTTGAGGAAAAATTTAAACTCAGAACCTCTTGAGTAATACACTCAAGAGTCTCTATGAAACAATTTAGTCACACAGATATAATTAATTAACCAATGTTTTAAAATAAAGATGGCCTTTTAAAATATATATATATATATATATATATAAATCATAGTCTATGTTTAGAAAATCAAGGATTAAAAATAAGTAAAAAGCATAGTCATAGTGAGAGATTCAAAGATTGTCCGTACATGTATATATTTATTATTAAATAAATTACGAAAATTCTGAAATACGAAATGCAATTCACTCACTCACTCACTCAAATCCCTATGTGGATCTTTCGTCCTTGAATCTTGGGCTTCTAAACAGTCCTTGAATCTTGGGCTTCTAAACATCATCCTTCACACAACTGATACCCTTCGTTTTCTCTGTAAATAACGAAACAGCCCTTTAAAATTTATATGACGAAATCACCCCCCCTTGAAAGGTAGACCACACTTTTTATTTGACATTGCGTCACTGAGTCACGACTCCCAAAGTTCTTTTTCCCCGGCTTTCTCGAGAAAGTAACTGTGTGTGTCTGTCTTCCCAAACCCTTCTGTTTCTATTTCTATTTCTGCCCCCTTTTACTTTTAATTTTTTTTTACCAATTTTTGTCTTTTCAATGTCATTTGTCTTTTCTCAAATCTCATTCACCCGTCACCTTTTACTGCTTTATTTTTAAATTATTTCAAATATTTAATTATATTTTACTAATTATTTAATTGATTTTTTAAGTTATATCTGTTTATACAAGGGTTAGGTTGAAAAGAGCTCACATTTTTTAAGTTATTTCAAATGTGAATGGTTAAATAATTTGAATAGATAAATAATAAAATGGGTGGGTGTAGGAAGAAAAGGATGTATGTGTAGTGAAATAGGGTCCACAAGTGATGCTGGTCACTATAACATTAAAGTTTGAATGGTGATGTCAATTATGTAAATTTGATGATATATCATTCACTTCACTTCACTTTGCATTAAAAAAAAGGTATACTATTTTATTCTCTTGTGTGGTCATTTTAAGGTATTACAACTAACACATCATCACATCCCATTTCTATACTTCATATTCTTTTCTTGTGGCCCCATTTCTACATTTAATTTAACCAACAAATCACCATTTTATTATAATATAATACTATCAATTCATTATTATATATTTTTTATGAAGAATAAATATTTAGGAAGACTTGGACAAGATGGCCCCTCATTTATTCTTGTGGTGATTATGATCGGTTAACAAAACACTACAGGCAAGATTTGGCTGAAACAACTAATGTGTGGACTGTTCGTTGAACAGAGTCGTTATACAGAGGATTGTTTTGGCCCGGGTTGTCCGTTTTATTTAATGAGCCCAGACCTTCCGTCCATAAAAGCCCAAGGCGGCCCAAAATAAGTTGAACATATCTTTTAAAATCTGATTTTAGTTATTTAATACCATAAAATAATTCAGATTTTAAAAAAATATCTGCTTTGGAAGTTTTCGTTTTGAGTTTTTACTGGAAGCTAAAATCCCATTAATAAAAAATGTTGAACAGAAAAAAATTCACAATTAAACCTTATTCTTAACTACGCTCTCTAATAATCACTCCTGGATGATTGGAATTTGGATGGGATAAGAAAGGCTTTTGGGTGTATTACTCAAAATGTTTTAAGTTTAATTTTTTTTTATTACTGATAGAGGTGACCACTAGAAATTTATCCAATCGTTAACTTGAGAGTCTTGAGAGATTAGTCGAGATGTGCGTAAGCTACTTGGACACCTTTGATTAAAAAAAAAAATTTACTAATAAAAATCATATTTCAAACAAATATAACTTGTCATTAAAAAAGAGCGATCAGATTTGGGTTTATATTATTGTAAATAAAATGTGAAAAAGGAAAAAGAAGTTAAAATTATTTATGACGTAATCTGGAAAAGGAATTAAGAGGGGGAAAGGAAGGAGTACAGCAGAAGTTAGATGATGGTGGTATGATGATGTGTGAGTGGGATCCACCCAATCTAGTATGTACCCTTAGCTTACTATTCACTCATGTTGTTTTTGTCAGATAAATCTCCTGCATCCCCTCCCAGGCTCCCACCATAACAATATGGACCAGATCTCCTCGGTGACGTTTTACCACTTTGCCCTTTCATTTGGACCATCAATTTAACATCCCAACTTTTAGACCACCAATTTAACATCCCAACTTTACTCTATTTACATATTTTAAAATATCATTTTATCATCCAAATTTATATTTCATTTCTGATTTTTATATCGTTATAATCCCATATTATTATCATTCTCTTCCTCAATCATCACTTACTAAAATCTTTCAAATCCTATTCTTGTTGTCCTCGTCAATCGCTGACAATCGAACGATTAAGGTTTATACAATCATTCCTCTCAAGTTTTTAATCGCTAAAATCTAATATTTTATTATTAAAAGATTTATCAATCTCTTCTCTTTAAAAGTATTAATAATTTGGATTAAATTTATTCTCTTTTTGTTGTTAAAATATAAATTTAAATAATCAAATAATATTTTAAAAATACGTAATATAAAAAAAAGTTATTAAATAATGATAAGGAAATAAATGGTTAACTCAATTAAAAACATTATTTGTCCAACTATACAATTACACATAATTCGGCATTTGTGCAGGTGCGACATGCATGCATGTTTGTTAATGCGAAAAATGACAACTCAACAATTTATAAAGGCGGCAACAGCATCATTGAAAACTGTGACGATTATGAACTAACTTTGTAACGGGCACCAAGCTCACATTACGTGTGGTGTTTTACTATTGGCTGTGGATTTATACGATTCAACTCGGATACACTCTTTCATGTGAATCCACTGTTGACCTGACACATATTTTGTTTCCTTGAAATCAGCTTCTTTTGCTTCCTTCCACTATTGACTTCAATCATTTGATCATCTCTTTCATTTGGTAGGTGTGTTCATCATATCATATACATCACCATAATTGCATTGCGCCAGTGGAATGATTTATACCCTCTTTATACCATATATATATATATATATATATTGATTTATTATATCATATAATTCCTAGTATTGATTTGACAATTAATACATTAATCTATTTTAGTTAATCATATCATATATGTATATATATATATATATATTCATAAAAAGTAACCTCCTCGTTACCAAATTTCTTTCAACGTCTCAACGCTGAGGAATCGCCGCTTGACACTAAACCCTTCTCTATCTATGGCTCTCAGATATTAACTATTTTCTCAATCTACTTCATTCCCAGAAGAGGTACTCTCTTTCTCCAATATATATTTATGATTATATGCAATAGTTTTTTGTCTTAAGTTTTTCTTCTTCTCCAGGAGGTTTTTATAACTCTAAAATCATGAAGAAAGTGGTTTTCTAATTTCTACTTTCAACCTGATACGGCGATCGCATTGATGTTGAATAAGGAAGCTTGAAACTGCTGGGTGCATACTCTCTGTGGAGATCAATTACTAACGATATCATTTATAAAGTTAGTATCGATGAAGAAACAAAATTCGGTGACTGCCTGTTTGGTCTTCTTTGTGTTCTTCTTCATGTTCCAGTGCAACCTCTCTATCATATCGAAATTAAACCTATCATATTCAACCAGAATTCATCAAGGTATGAATTACAAAATCTTTTTTTACTTGTTTATTAATATGACATGCGCTGTCACCAAGTTGTTTGTCGCCATTTATGTTTGTCACTCAAATTCTCTTGACATATATATTTAGATAAAATTTTGATTTTATTTACTCGGCAGCCAGAGGTATAATCTTCATTCTTCAAATATTTTCCCCAGAAATGGCTATATATGCAGTTTTATAAATTGTCAATGCTAAGAAAAATTCATAAAGGCTTAAGTTCAAGTGTTCATCAACATCTCTCATAGTAAACTTAATTGTGAACAAGTAGGCATTACTTAGTGCGCGAGAAATGCATAATATTTTAGCGGTTAGTGCCCAATCTTATTCTTAGGGATTGATATATTATAATATGTAAATCAAGACAAGATATCTACCAAATATAGATCGTTACATTTCAACACCTTTTGTATCTTTCTACCCTTCAGAATTAATATTATATTGAAACTTGTACATGTTAAGATTGCTTGTCAATAAATATATAAGGTCTCATAAGAACTCTATAAGTTATTGTTAAAAAAATGAGTTAACCGAAAAATTGGAAAAGTAAATAAAAATGAACTGAAACATGTGAAATGATGTTAAGAGTCAGGAATAATTACTGATATGAAGAATAAAATGTTACTTTCGTCCAAAATTGATATAGTATTTCTATGGTTGCAGACAAAAAGGACTTGGAACAGAAATCAACAAGCAAGGTGGACCAACTTCCTCGGCCACCTTCTCAATCCCCACAAATCAGCTGCGACAGATCTCACCATGATTATGATTTATGCGCAATCACCGGTCCTACAGTTCTTGACTCCACAACATCTACTTTGTTCCTTGTCGACTCTTCCACCTCAACGCCGCCTTCAATTGTTGAAAAAATTAGGCCTTACCCTCGAAAATGGGAGAAGTTTACGATGAACAGAATCAAAGAACTCACCATAACATCAAGCCCAGAAAGTCCAAAATGTGAAGTGCAGCACCATGTTCCAGCTTTAGTATTTAGTGTAGGCGGGTACACTGGAAACTTCTGGCACGAATTTAACGACGGGTTCATTCCCCTCTTTATCACCGTCAACTCAATCTTCCCTGATCAAGATTTTGTTCTTGTTATCAGTAAAGCTCGTGATTGGTGGGTTAACAAGTATGCAGATTTATTACAAACATTCAGCAAGTATCCTATCGTAAAACTGGACGATGATAACACCACTCATTGTTTTCCTTCTGCCACTTTGGGTCTTATCTCACATGGATTCATGACTATAGACCCTGCATTGATGCCAAATTCAGAAACCTTCACCCATTTTCGCGCCTTCCTCGACAAAGCTTATGGAAATGGTCGAATCCACCCAATACTAAAGCGCAATTCTCCGGTGGCTAGGCCGCGGCTTGTTTTGCCGAGTCGCAAAGGTAGCCTCGGACGTGCTATCTTAAATCAAGATGAAGTAAAACGTGTTGCGGAGGACGTAGGTTTTGATGTTATTGTATTTTCACCAACTGCGAAGACCTCATTGCGCGAAGCTTATGCTCTTATAAATTCAAGTCATGCTATGGTTGGGGTACACGGTGCAGCTCTAACGCATTCATTGTTTCTTCGGCCGGGATCGGTGTTCGTGCAGGTGGTGCCGTTAGGGCTTGAATGGGTGGCGGAGGTGTGTTTCGCGAAATCAGCTAGGGTTATGGGGTTAAATTACATGGAATATAAGATCAATGCAGAGGAGAGTAGCTTGGTGGAAAAGTATGACAGGAATGAGTTATTGATAAAGGATCCAGGTGCTCTTCGAGGAAATAATTGGTCCCAAGCTATTATGAACATATATTTGAAGGAGCAAAATGTTAATTTTGATTTGGTTAGGTTTAGAGAATATACGAAGGAAATGTATAAGAAGGCCAAACAATTTATGGACAGGGAAGGGTAGTTCTGTCATTTGTGTGTGTGTGTGTGTGTGTGAATGTGGAATTCTCTTCTTAAACATTACAAAGGAAATTAGTTAAAATGATTCTTGGAATGATATTGTAATTAATATTTCCTTTTACGAGTTAAAAGATATTTTCCCCCTGGTTTGACATAAGTGCATGCGCATAAAGATTTATTAGAATTTTTAATTAACATTTTACCCTATTATTAATATCTTTGTAGCCATTTCGCTCTTAAACCTATATTTAGTAGTAAAAACTGAACTACCCTCAATTCGTCTTAATGGGTTTAAAGAAAGAAGATAACAAAAATTAAAAAATAGAAGGCAAAATTCTTTTGTTCCTTGGGTTGGGTCCAGTTCTTTGGGGAAGTAACAGTTGGATCCAGTTCTATCAACAAACGTTTTGAAGAATTTTGTAATTTGTATCACCAATGAAAAGTGTTAAAATAATCCTACTTTTGTTTTATATGAGCAAAATTAAAATGTATTAAAAAGTTCAACAAAATTATATTTTTGTATAGTCATTATTAGAAATAATTACATTAGTAATTATTTATTGCTATAATTGATTAAAGTTATGTAACTTTGTTAAATAATTGATTAAATTGTGTCATTTAATATGACGTTACCCACTGACTTGTTTATTTAAATAAGTTTTGAATATTAACATTAAATAAATCGTGTTAGGTTGACTACAAGCCTTTTCTTTTCCAATTAATACAAACACGACCTGCTAACTTGTTTTATCACTGATATTGTTAATTGACAAGACCCAATAGAGGTTGTTATTATTAGTTTAGAAAAGACTAGGGGAGGTTATTGTTTCTTCATCAATCACAATCACCATATCATATTCGTCTAGGTTGTCCACGCTACCTGCATGTTTTTCTTTTACAAATCCCAACCCTCCATCTGTCAAAGTATCATCTTTAATTTATTCTTTTGAAAGTAAGAGATGGAGACTATTTATTCTTTCAACTATCCGTATTCCATTCAACTAACACTCAGAAACAAGAAGAGAATACAGAACCCAGTGGGCTAACAAAAACTATATTGGCCCAGAAAGACAAAATGGTTTGTGATATTTTTCATTTACAAGATTACAAAAATACATTGATTACCAATTAGTCAACAGAAAATTTATGCAGATGGACTCTTACAATTGGTTGTCTGGAATAGCTTAATTTAAAAACTGTGAATGTTGCCTACTTTAGCACCAGATCGTTGAAGGTATCCACACATATTCCCTTTTCTTTTCAGGGCTGTGAGAACTGACTTCGGCTGATCCCAACTCAAACCTTTCTCTGTCTGCAATAAATCTTAGGGATTTAATGCTGTCTGCTCTGAGGAGTTACTTTTAAATTCTTCTCTCAATATTCCTTCGTACAAGAGGTATACATTCTTTCTCCCATACATAGATCTATACTTATTATTTCAAAAGAATTAATGAATATTGTTTTTGAAAGTTTCTCATATCTCTTTTCCTTCTTCTTCCAGGAAATCCTCAAATCAGCAAGAAAGTGGTTAATTACGCTTCAAACTGAGTGTCAAACGCTAGTGTTTATGCATATATGTGGAAGCTGCATTACCAGCTTATTGATGTGTGATTTTGATACCAACTATCCACACATGGGAAATATTGAGCTGATTTAGAAGACACACGTATACGAGGGTATTGAATTGAATAGAAGATGAAGAACAGTGTTTAAAGTGGTTCGAATGCTTAAGTAAGCGAATCATACGTCCACTAGTATCGTATTAACATATGAGGTTAGGTCGCATTCAGCGAGCTGACTTACGAGAGATTACAAGAGAGAGTATGTCTATATGCTATTTCAGAGAGAAATTAGCTAATCTCATAAATGGGAGAGGAATCCCCTATTTATAGTGGGATAAGTTAAGGTAGTGATTAATAAATCAAGAAGCGGGTCATATTACCGTGCAAATTCTTCCTTGCGTCTCATTACTCACCTACTCTAGTGATTTACTCGACGTTTGCAGGGATTGGACATGTGAATCGTCTCCAGCCTTTCACCAGCCTAGCGCACACCCACTGTACTGGCAGAAGCATGCCGCTTACGTCAGCGTACGACGTGACTTCGTCTGAACGGTTGTAGGACTTACCTAAGCTCTGACCGCTTATGCTGACAGGGCTCTGCGTCAGTCCTACTTTTTCAGAAATAACACAGCTGAAAACCAGTAGGTCATATTAATTAAATTTATATATATATAAGTATTATCGATGAAGAAGCAATGTTTGTCGAAAGTGACTGCATTCCTCGCCTCTTTTACGTTCCTCTTCATGTACCAGAGTAGTCTTTCAACGATATTAAATTTAAAAGCATTGAATTCAGCCAGAGTTGATCAAGGTACGTGTTTTAAAGCGTGTTCTTGTTTATTGGACATGATCATGCTATGCAGTTATTTACAAATTGTCAATGCCGGAAAATTCAGGTCAAATATGCATATCTTGCCGGAAAATTCGTTTCCCAGTTGGCATTACTTGGTGTCTGAGAAATGTCTGAATATTTTAGTAGTTAAGTGTCCCATTGGTTCTCAAGGATTAATTACATATATGTATAATGCAAGAGTACTTTTATTATAGAATTACTTATGTATACACGTTTCTATGCATTGAGACAGCTGGCACACCGACCACAGATTTCTACATCTTACCACATTTGGTATATTTAACATGTCGATCACATACCCCTACAGTGCAACACGTTTTTGTCTTTAGTACGATAATACTAGTTTAATAACTTTCTCTCACAACCCCGATATTACTAGTTTAATAACTTTCTCTCACAACCCCGAGTAGTTGTCATCGGATAGCTAGTAAATGGGCAAACATGATTTATACAAGAGAGTGGAACCATTTTACGAATTGATCAATAACGAACTGCCACATAAAAAGTTATAAGATTAGATTGCGAATCTAATATTACTCTTTTAGTTTATATTAAAAGGTTTGATTAACTGTACCACTGAATAATTGTTAAATTAAAAGCCTTAATATGTCTCTATATATTTTTCGAGATTCTAAATCCGTCTACAGAGTACTAAAATTCTAAATCTACCCGGGAACCATAATATAAGGTGCCATATGTTACATATTTTCAGCAACCATTCATCATATTTATTATGGAATTAAACTTCTATGGCTGCAGATAAAAAGGATTTGGAACTTAAATCAACAAGCAATTGGGCACTTTTGCAATCCCGCAAAGAGAGACAAATTAGCTAAGATCGCTCTCAATCAAGACACTCTAATGTTGATGGTGTATTTTGTTTTAATTAAGTACTTGAGTTTAGGGACCAAAATATTATATATAACCAAGCTTCCATCAAGCTCTTAATGACATTGTTTAATGGTTGTCATAAATCCTAATCAATGGTTAAACAAAAAATGTTTGAAAAACTGAAGCAACAAACGTAGACCATTAATCTTTAAAACTGATTTATATTTAATAAAAATCAATTATCTACGTTACATATAAGCAGGGGTGGATCCAGCCACTTTTGGCCCACCCTTAATTTTTATTTTTTAAATATTAATATGTATAATTTATATATTTTGACCACTCTAACAAAAATATTAATGGACAAAAATATTAATGTATAATTAATTTTTACTTTGGTCTACCCTAACAGAAATTTCTGGATCTACTACTACATATAAGTACCGTAAGTTTTACATTATACCCTCTTTAGTCTTTACCATATGTATACTGATTTATTATATCATATAATTCCTAATATTGATTTGACAATTAATACGTTAATCTATCATATATTCCATTTATTCATAAAAAGTAAACCTCCTCGTTACCAAATTTCTTTCAACGTCTCAACACTGAGGAATCGCCGCTTGACACTAAACCCTTCTCTATCTATGGCTTTCAGATATTAACTAATTTCTCAATCTACTCCATTCCCAGAAGAGGTACTCTCTTTCTCCAATATATATGTATGATTATTTTCAAAAGTTTTTTGTCTTAAGTTTTTCTTCTTCTCCAGGAGGATTTTGTAACTCTAAAATCATGAAGAAAGTGGCTTTCTAATTTCTACTTTCAACCTGATACGGCGATACCCGGATCGCATTGATGTTGAATAAGGAAGCTTGAAACTGCTGGGTGCATACTCTCTGTGGAGATCAATTATTAACGATATCATTTATAAAGTTAGTATCAATGAAGAAACAAAAGTCGGTGACTGCCTGTTTGGTCTTCTTTGTGCTCTTCTTCATGTTACAGTGCAACCTCTCTATCATATCGAAATTAAACCCATCACATTCAACCAGAATTCATCAAGGTATGAATTACAAAATCTTTTTTTACTTGTTTATTAATATGACATGCCCTGTCATCAAGTTGTTTGTCGCCATTTATGTTTGTCACTCAAATTCTCTATATATTTAGATAAAATTTTGATTTTATTTACTCAGCAGCCAGAGGTATAATCTTCATACTTCAAATATTTTCCCCAGAAATGGCTATATATGCAGTTTTATAAATTGTGAATGCCAAGAAAAATTCATAAAGGCTTAAGTTCAAGTGTTCATCAACATCTCTCATAGTAAACTTAACTGTGAACAAGTAGGCATTGCTTAGTGCGTGAGAAATGCATAATATTTTAGCGGTTAGATATCTTTTCTTGATTTACATATTATAATATGTAAATCAAGACAAGATATCTACCAAATATAGATCGCTACATTTCAACACCTTTTTTATTTTTCTACCCTATGATACTCTTCAGAATTAATATTATATTGAAACTTGTACATGTTACGATTGCTTGTCAATAAATATATAAGGTCTCATAAGAACTCTATAAGTTAATATTAAAAAAATGAGTTAACCGAAAAATTGGAAAAGTAAATAAAAATGAACTGAAACATGTGAAATGATGTCAAGAGTCAGGAATAATTACTGAAATTAATATAGTATTTCTATGGTTGCAGACAAAAAGGACTTAGAACTGAAATCAACAAGCAAGTTGGACCAACTTCCTCGGCCACCTTCTCAATCCCCACAAATCAGCTGCGACAGATCTCACCATAATTATGATTTATGCGCAATCACCGGTTCTACAGTTCTTGACTCCACAACATCTACTTTGTTCCTTGTTGACTGTTCCACCTCAACGCCGCCTTCAGTTGTTGAAAAAATTAGGCCTTACCCTCGAAAACGGGAGAAGTTTATGATGAACAGAATCAAAGAACTCACCATAACATCGAGCCCTGAAAGTCCAAAATGTGAAGTGCAGCACCATGTTCCAGCTTTAGTATTTAGTGTAGGCGGGTACACCGGAAACTTCTGGCACGAATTTAACGACGGGTTCATTCCCCTCTTTATCACCGTCAACTCAATCTTCCCTGATCAAGATTTTGTTCTTGTTATCAGTAAAGCTCGTGATTGGTGGGTTAACAAGTATGCAGATTTATTACAAACATTCAGCAAGTATCCTATCGTAAAACTGGAAGATGATAACACCACTCATTGTTTTCCTTCTGCCACTTTGGGTCTTATCTCACATGGATTCATGACTATAGATCCTGCTTTGATGCCAAATTCAGAAACCTTCACCCATTTTCGCGCCTTCCTCGACAAAGCTTATGGAAATGGTCGAATCCACCCAATACTAAAGCGCAATTCTCCGGTGGCTAGGCCGCGGCTTGTTTTGCCGAGTCGCAAAGGTAGCCTCGGACGTGCTATCTTAAATCAAGATGAAGTAAAACGTGTTGCGGAGGACGTAGGTTTTGATGTTATTGTATTTTCACCAACTGCGAAGACCTCATTGCGCGAAGCTTATGCTCTTATAAATTCAAGTCATGCTATGGTTGGGGTACACGGTGCAGCTCTAACGCATTCATTGTTTCTTCGGCCGTGATCGGTGTTCGTGCAGGTGGTGCCGTTAGGGCTTGAATGGGTGGCGGAGGTGTGTTTCGCGAAATCAGCTAGGGTTATGGGGTTAAATTACATGGAATATAAGATCAATGCAGAGGAGAGTAGCTTGGTGGAAAAGTATGACAGGAATGAGTTATTGATAAAGGATCCAGGTGCTTTTCGAGGAAATAATTGGTCCCAAGCTATTATGAACATATATTTGAAGGAGCAAAATGTTAATTTTGATTTGGTTAGGTTTAGAGAATATACGAAGGAAATGTATAAGAAGGCCAAACAATTTATGGACAGGGAAGGGTAGTTCTGTCATTTGTGTGTGTGTGTGTGTGTGTGAATGTGGAATTCTCTTCTTAAACATTACAAAGGAAATTAGTTAAAATGATTCTTGGAATGATATTGTAATTAATATTTCCTTTTACGAGTTAAAAGACATTTTCCCCCTGGTTTGACATAAGTGCATGCGCATAAAGATTTATTAGAATTTTTAATTAACATTTTACCCTATTATTAATATCTTTGTAGCCATTTCGCTCTTAAACCTATATTTAGTAGTAAAAACTGAACTACCCTCAATTCGTCTTAATGAGTTTAAAGAAAGAAGATAACAAAAATTAAAAAATAGAAGGCAAAATTCTTTTGTTCCTTGGTTTGGGTCCAGTTCTTTGGGGAAGTAACAGTTGGATCCAGTTCTATCAACAAACGTTTTGAAGAATTTTTGTATCACCAATGAAAAGTGCTTATATAATCCTACTTTTGTTTTATATAAGTAAAATTAAAATGTATTAAAAATAATTACATTAGTAATTATTTATTGCTATAATTGATTAAAATTATGTAAATTTGTTAAATTATTGATGGGTTTTGAGTCGGTGGGACAAATTAAATGGGTTAAATCGATTATATTGTGTCATTTGATATGACGTTAAAGCATCTCCAATTTTAAAGAGTATCTTTCATATAAATAAAGAGCATCTTCATCAATTTATAAATATAAAAATAAATATTTTTATTTAAATCTAATAGACTCTTTAAATTTAATGAAGATACTGTTTATTTTTAAGAAAGAAACTTAATAGAATAGAGAATTAATAAATAAAATGCATAGAAACTTGTAGTTTATTAATTAAAATTAGGATAGAGAGTGAAATTTATTTTTAAGATATGGAGAGTCAAACTCACTCTTTAATTTATATTTAAAGATAAGGAGTCTATTAGACTCTTGTTTTTATGGATAAACTATTTATAATAAAGAGTTTGAGTTATATAAAGAGTCTTTTATAAATATTCTTACCCACTTACTTGTTTATTAAAGATGTTGTCTGCCCTTATTTAAAGAGGTAACGACAAATTAACATTTTCCCACCCTCAAAATTTTGAAACACCCTTTTACTGTCCAATCATTAGGTTATCCTCTGATTTGGGTGGGAAACAAAGTGATTTACTAAAAAAACCACTCTTTTCTTTCTTCTCTTCTTAGCCTCTTTCATTGCTTATAATTGCCGTCAGTATTAGAGAGTGTCGGCGACTAGAAAATTAACAAACAAACATTCTTCAATTGTATTTCAACCCAACAAACACAAAAATGGTACGAATCAAACCAAATTAAAACTAAAAAAACCATAAGGTGGGGAAGCTTCAATCATCGATGATTGGTGAGCAAACAGGATTGGGAATGTTGAGACTTTTGGAGAGGAAGATTCAGGGAGTTGATTGGTGGTGGCAAGGACGATTTCCAACACCAGAAACGATCAAAAATCGGCTTGGAAGTTGAAAGGTCGCGCAGTTCACGGTTGGCAATTGGCGATTGGTAAGCAATGGACAGTGATGGAGGTAAGGGTTTTGTAGAGTGGGTTGTAGAGAGTGTGATGGTGGTGTCCAGGTGAATTTTTGGCAAAGAAATCGACTGGAACTTTGACTTGAAGAGTCGGCCATGCGAATGAAGGTGGTGGTGGGAAATGGTGAGTGATGACAACAATTGGAGGCTTGGGCTTTGTAGAGGAGGTGATGGAGATTCTGTGCGTGCTGTCAGAAGTGATTTTGATTTTCGAGATCGGCCGAAAAATGGCAAAAACCTGCCAACTCTGATGCTGCTAACGTGCATCGTTCTTCTCCAACTGCCACTGTTTGGTGACCTTTTTGCCCTTATTAATAATGAACTTTTGACCATTTTGTCCTTCTTGACAACAAAAATTACTAATAAAATTATGTTTGGATACTGAAATGGTATTTAAAATGTGGGTGGGTATGAATTTGTTAATGGGCTATTTTTTGGGTGGGAACATGTCGTTAACTCCTTATTTAAATAAGTTGTGTCAACTTTTGAATATTAACATTAAATAAATCGTGTTAGGTTGACTTGCAAGCCATTTTTTTTTCCCAACTAAAACAATAAAAAAGCGACCTGCTAACTTGTTTTATCACTGTTATTGTCAATAGAGGTTGTTGTTGCTGCTTTCAATATACCTCTGGGAACTAGTGGTATTTCTATGAAGTTCAAGGGAGGAATTATATATATATATATATGTCCTTTTGACTACTTTGAACGAGGATTAGCAAATCACATGCCTGCTTCTTGTTCATCAATCACAATCACAATCACAATCACCATAGATGATAAATGATATATCATATTCGTCTAGGTTGTCCATGCTACCTGCATGTTTCTCGTTTACAAATCTCAACCGTCCATCTGTCAAAGTATCATCTGTAATTTATTCTTTTGGAGACTATTTATTCCTTCAACTATCCATATTCCATTATTTCTACCTAACACTCAAAAACAAGAAGAGAATACAGAACCCAGTGGGCTAACAAAAACTATACTGGCCCAAAAGACAAAATGGTTTGTGATATTCCTCATTTACAAAAATACATTGATAACCAATTAGGAGCGCACATTAGTCAACAAAAAATTTATGCAGATGGACTCTTACAATTGGTTGTCTGGAATAGCTTAATTTAAAAACTGTGAATGTTGCCTACTTTAGCACCAGATCGTTGACGGTATCCACATATATATATATATATGCCCTTTTCTTTTCAGGGCTGTCAGAACTGACTTCGGCTAATCCCAACTCAAACCTTTCTCTGTCTGCAATAAATCTTAGGGATTTAATGCTGTCTGCTCTGAGGAGTTACTTTTAAATTCTTCTCTCAATATTCCTTCATACAAGAGGTATACATTCTTTCTCCCATACATAGATCTATACTTATTATTTCAAAAGAATTAATGAATATTGTTTTTGAAAGTTTCTCATATCTCTTTTCCTTCTTCTTCCAGGAAATCCTCAAATCAGCAAGAAAGTGGTTAATTACGCTTCAAACTGAGTGTCAAACGCTAGTGTTTATGTACATAAGTATTATCGATGAAGAAGCAATGTTTGTCGAAAGTGACTGCATTCCTCGTCTTTTTTGCGTTCCTCTTCATGTACCAGAGTTGTCTTTCAACCATATTAAATTTAAAAGCATTGCATTCAGCCAGAGTTGATCAAGGTATGTGTTTTAATGCGTGTTCTTGTTTATTGGATATGATCATGCTATGCAGTTATTTACAAATTGTCAATGCCGGAAAATTTAGGTCAAATATTCATATCTTGCCGGAAAATTCGTTTCCCAGTTGGCATTACTTGGTGTCCGAGAAATGTCTGAATATTTTAGTAGTTAAGTGTCCCATTGGTTCTCAAGGATTAATAACATATATGTATGATGCAAGAGTACTTTTATTATAGATTTACTTATGTATACACGTTTCTATGCATTGAGACATGCAGCTGGCACACCGACCACAGATTTCTACATCTCACCACATTTGGTATATTTAACATGTCGATCACATATCCCTACATTGCACCACGTTTTTGTCTTTAATACAATAATGTTAGATTAATAACTTTCTCTCATAGTCTCAAGTAGTTGTCATTGGTTAGCTCACAAAGGGGCAAGTATGATCTATACAAGCGAGTGAAACTATTTTGCAAGCTGATTAATCACGAACTACTTCGTGAAAGGTTACGAGATTGGATTGTGGATCTAATACTACTCTTTTAATATATATTAAAGGATCTGACTAACCGGACCACTAAATAGCCATTAAATTAAAAATCTTAACATGTCTTTATATATTTTTCGAGATTCTAAATCAATCTACAGAGTATTGAACTTCTAAATCTACCCAAGAACTATAATATAAGGTCCCATATGTTACATTTTTTCAGCAACCTTTCATCATATTTATTATGGTATTAAACTTCTACGGTTGCAGATAAAAAGGATTTGGAACTTAAATCAACAAGCAATTGGACACCTTTGCAATCCCCCAAAGAGAGACAAATTAGCTGCGATCGCTCTCATCACTCCTATGATTTATGCGCAATCAACGGTCCTACTATTCTCCACCCCATAACCTCTACTTTCTTCCTTGTGGATCCCTCCACCTCATCCCCGCCTTCCTTTGCGGAAAAAATTAGACCTTACCCTCGAAAATGGGAGAATTTCACGATGAAGAAAATCAAGGAGTTGACCATAACCTCGACTCCACAAACCCCAAGATGTGAAGTACAACATAATGTTCCGGCTTTAGTATTCAGTGCAGGTGGGTACAACGGAAACTTTTGGCATGATTTCAATGACGGGTTAATTCCTCTCTTTATCACCGTCAACTCAGTCTTTCCAGATCAAGATTTTGTTCTTGTCATCACGGAAGCTCGTGATACGTGGGTTACCAAGTACGCTGATTTATTACAAACGTTTAGTAAACACCGTATCATAAACCTGAATAATGACAACGCCACTCATTGTTTTACTTCTGCCGCTTTGGGCCTAATATCACATGGATTTATGTCCATAAACCCTGCGTTGATGCCAACTTCAAAAACTTTCACCCATTTTCGTGCTTTCCTGGACAAAGCCTATGGCCTCGGCCAACGAAACTACCCCTCCAAGCACAAATCTCCGGCGGCTCGGCCACGGTTGGTGTTGGCGAGTCGCAAGGGTAGTCTTGGACGTGTTATTTTGAATCAGGCAGAAGTAAAACGTGTAGCGGAAGAAGTAGGGTTTGATGTAATTGTATTTAAGCCAACTCCGAGAACCCCATTGCAGGAAGCTTACGCAGTTGTAAATTCAAGCCATGTAATGGTTGGGGTACACGGTGCAGCGCTTACACATTCATTATTTCTCCGGCCAGGTTCAGTGTTGGTGCAGGTGGTGCCGTTGGGGCTTGAAGGGTTGGGGGAGATGTGCTTCGGGAAATCGGCTAGGGCTATGGGGTTAGAGTACATGGAATATAAGATCAATGCAGAGGAGAGTAGCTTGGTGGAAAAGTATGATAAGAATGAGTTGTTGATAAGGGATCCAACTGCTTTTCGAGGGAAGAATTGGTCTGACGCTATTATGACCATATATTTGAAGGAACAAAACGTTAAATTTGAATTGTTTAGATTTAAGGAATATTTAAAGCAAGTGTATAAGAAGGCGAAGCGATTCATGGACAAGGAGGGATAAAAATCAATCAAAATTATAGCGATTCTTGTAATAATGATATTGTAATTGTTATCTTTTTCTACTTCATCTATCAAATTATATTTGTCAAAGCACTTTCCAGTGAATTATTTAGAGAGACTTTATGATTTCTTTTTTTTTAGAGTAAACGACTTTTTCTCACCCAAGGCTGGCCTTAATGATACTTTTATGTCAAAAAAGTTTTAAAATACCACTTTTTTACCTAAAGTTAATATTCCGTTACTATCCAAAGTTAATTCTGAACGCAAAAATGTTCATTCTCATCACTATTTGAATCATTGGTCTCCTTTCTACAAAACTACTCTTACTTTGACACCTAATTTCTTACCGATTACTGGCGATCGCAAAACTATGGTTTCCTATTATTAGCTTATTTTCAATTGATTTAAATGGCGAATATTCAATCGGTCATCATTATTCGATTTATTGGCCGTCACTCTAAAAAACCCCTTTTACCCTGGCTCCTGATAACTCGTAGAACATCGGCTGAGAAAGTGAAGTGTATTTTCAGTATTAAAAGAATATAGATTTTGGGTGGGAAAGTGGTATTTTAAAATTTTTTGTGTGGAAAAGATCATTAAGGCAAACCTTGGGTGGGAATATAATATCCTTGATTGTGGGCCTTGCGGGTCTATCTCTGAATTAATGAATCACGAGGACTTCCAAAATTACATGCCAAGGCATTAATTATAACAACATTTTCAGTAAAGAGTGTTAAGAGTTAAGATTTATGTTTTGAATGAAAAATTTTATTATTATTGAGAAACTTCCTCTGATTCCAAAAATGCGAGTACAGAGATTTTACAAATTACACAAAAATTAAAGAATGTTATCCTACAAAAAATATTATTGTTGTGTGATTTTTCCATCGAGCTTGGTGAGTTGTGAGGTATTAGATCGACCTAGAATCTGTCCGCCTCTATCGATTATTTGACCCAGCATAAGCTCATTGACATATAGCTCGACCCAGCATAAGCTAGTTGCGAACAACCTTAATGATCATTCAATCAATTCCCAAATAACTTCAGATTCTAGATATTACAAGAATGACCATATTAACAACAATCTTTAAGCAATCACAGTGTCCAATCGCGAGAATATTGGAATTACAGTTCATATCAATTGTAATTCCTTTATTTTCGCTTTTTCCTTTATACAAATCTTATATATAAACCCTCTCGAATGATGAAAAAAGGGTTAGAAATTTTCCACATAATACTTATTATAAGCTCTCATAGTAAATACAAGAACAGTGGACGTAGGCATTAGAGGTTCCCTTGTTGAACCACTTTAAAAATTTTATTGTCTTTTACTTTATTGCATTCATCATTCATCCATCGCTGATTATTCGTAATCACGTCCACATCCGTTCCGGTTTCACCAAGGTTAATCGGATCTTTCTGGTTGGTATGAATTTTCGTATCAACAATTATGAAACTGTTGCTATTTTTTATATCTTATATTTTAAGCTTACACAAAAAAAAAAAAAAAAAAAAAAAAAAAAAGCTGTAGATCTTATCTATAATACAACCAAAAAATAATTTATTCCAAGATTAAAATTTTCAAATTTTCCAATCATAACATATGTTCTACGGCATATAACATGTTATGACAGATATTAAGGATATAATAAATAATATAATTAGAAACCGTCAATAAATTGTATGAACCGGCTATCTACACCTAAAAACCTACTTTTCAACTCCTATTTTTTAGTAAATTAATTATTAGAATCTAAAAAAGTTTGATTTTTTACTTTAAAATATTTTCTTAATTTTTAAAACAACATCAATATATGGTTTATTGTTTAATTAAATATAAAATATAATAAAAAAATTGTTGAAACTTGAAAGTTGATTACAAAATTCACTTATAAAATTTAGTGGCGTTTGGATCTAACAAAACGGGCGTATAAAATATAGTTTACAAATAGCAAATACCTCATTCATGGAGACTAACAGTTGGCGTGTCTCTGATAGTTTTTAAAAGCTGTAAATGTTTGACCGAATGGTTAAGGGTTTCAATCATCTCCATTTCTTCTTGCAAGCCATCAGAGCTGACCAACACTTGTCACAACTCTCTCTTTCAATATGTCTTCATTCATCTACAGCTTTGCCCAGATCGATAAATTTTAAAGGCTGTCTATTCATCTATCAATTTTCATTATAGAAGAGGTACTCCCCTTCTATAATATATGAATACTTGTTTTTTTTATTTTTTATTTTTATTTTTTTATCTCAGTTTAATTTTCTTCTTCTTTATAGGAAGATTAACTCTCTAATCAGTAAGAAAGTTTGAAACTGTCTGCCAAACGCTGGATTTCATGTTCGTGGAAGACGCATGACCTGTGAAGTGAAGATTCATCATTATAAATTTATACAGTAGAATCCGATGAAGAAGCAAAATTTGACGACAGTGAGTATATGCTTCGTCTTTTTTGTGTTCTTCTTCATGTTCCAGAGCAAGTACGTTTCTCTCGTATCGAATTCAAAGGTGTCACGCTCAACGATAATCGATCAAGGTATGCGTTACAAACTTATCTTTTCCGTGTTTATCGAATTACATGTGCTGTCTCCATTCCCCACGTTGTTAATTTCTCACAACCCAAGAAGTACTTGATCAGTTTCTCACTCCTTACGTTATAAAATCTTTTGTTCTTTATTGAACATGAACATGGCTTTATTAATTAGTAAACGTGCTTCCCTGTAGTGATTACTTCGTGTTTGAGAATTTAGAATTACCTGAATATTTTAGTGGTTTGAGATCAATCTGATGAATCTTAAATATCAACTGCGATTTCAAGGATGAATATAATATGTAGATCGCTACAATTCAACACTTTTTGGAATAATATTTTATTAAAGCTTCTAGTAATTTGTGTACATGTCAGGATTAATAATTAATTGTTATAATATAGTGTTTGAATTCAATTGGCTAATTGCACCGGCAAATAATTTATTTGGATTTAAAATATTACAGTTTATTTTACTTGAGATTCTAAATCCTACCATGATTATCAGGTTGATGTATAATATTACCGAGCGCTTATAAAATATTCCTGTGATTTCAGGTAAAAAGGATTTGGTATCTAAATCAACAAAGAACTGGGTGTTGGATCACCATTCTCCACCACCTTTACACTCCCCGCGAGGAAGGCTAATTACTTGCGACCGATCTCATCAATATTATGATTTATGCTCAATCAACGGTCCTACCGTTCTCGACCCTGCAACCTCTACTTTCTTCCTTCAGGGTCCCTCTACCATGACCTTCCCATCAATGTTTAAGGAAAAGATTAGGCCATACCCTCGGAAATTTGAGAATTTTGTAATGAAGGGAATCAAGGAGCTGACCATAACCTCAGCCCCACAAAGGCCAAAATGTGAAATTCAACACAATGTTCCAGCTCTAGTATTCAGCGCAGGTGGGTATACCGGAAACTTTTGGCATGAATTCAATGACGGGTTTATTCCCCTCTTTATCACCGTCAGTTCAGTCTTTCCTGATCAAGATTTTGTTCTTGTTATCAGCAAAGCTCGTCATTGGTGGGTTAACAAGTATGCAGAGTTGTTACAAGCTTTTAGTAAGCACCCTATAATAAATCTTGATAATGACACCGTCGCTCATTGTTTTACTTCTGCCACTTTAGGCCTTATTTCACATGGATTTATGAATATAGACCCTGCATTAATTCCAAATTCAAGAACGTTCATTCATTTCCGTGCTTTCTTAGAAAAAGCCTATGGTTCCCATGGTCAAATCCATCCCTCCAAGAACAATTCTCCGTTGGTTCGACCACGGCTCGTGTTGGTGAGTCGTAGAGATAGCCTTGGACGTGTCATAAATAATGAGGCTAAAGCTAAACTTGTCTTGGAAAAAATAGGTTTTGATGTGATTGTGTTTGAGCCAAATCCCGGCACTCCATTGAACGAAGCTTATGCGATTATAAATTCAAGTCACGCGATGGTTGGGGTACATGGTGCAGCACTTACACATTCATTGTTTCTCCGGCCGGGGTCGGTGTTCGTGCAGGTGGTGCCACTAGGGCTCGACTGGGTGGCGCAGGTGTGTTTTGCGAAGTCAGCTAGGGCTATGAGATTGGAGTATATGGAATATAAGATCAAAGCAGAAGAGAGTAGCTTGGTAGAAAAGTATAATAAGAATGATTTACTGATAAAGGACCCAGTTGCATTTCGAGGGAAGAATTGGTCAGAGGATATTATGAACATATATTTGAAGGAACAGAACGTCAATTTTGATTTGGTTAGATTTGGAGAATATTTTAAACAAGTGTATAAGAAGGCCAAGCAATTTATGGACAAGGAGAGATAGTTTTATGTGAAAATTTGTTCTTAGACAATAAAAAAAATGATAAATTTTTGGATGAATTTAAACTTGTGTTATATTTGTGGATCTGTAATTTCATTATTATACAATTGCAGAGCATTAATTTGTATATGGACGTTGATTGTTGTGGTCCAGTCCCAGAATGAATCTCACCGAGATTTGCTAAATTGCTTGCAGTTAATTAAGGCATTTCTTGGATTATTAAATATTGTATAATCTTGTAGTTAAATGTAGATTAAGGGGGTGTTTGTCTAAGCTTATAAGCTGGTCAAACTTGCTTATAAGCTCTAAATTTTAGCTGACCCGTTTGTTTATAACTTTTTTGAGCTTATAAGTCGAGCTTATAAGCCAAAAAAAATAAGTTGGGGGGGAGGTACTTTTTTTTTTTGGCTTATAAGCACTCTGCTTATAAGCTAGTTTGACCAAGTATATTACCATCTTATCCTTGTTTAATTTTAAAATTCTATAGTATACCCTTGTTTTTATATTTGAAATAGGTCATATTACTATCTGTTTGTATTCTGTGAAGCAAAAATCTCCTTCCACAAAGGGTTTAGGGTTCACTGCTCTCTCTTCATCAAGTTAAATAATTTTTTTTTTTTTTTTAAATTTGAGATTTTGTTCTTGCAATTTTCTAGTTTAATGGTGGAATTTAGGGTTTAGAGCTTTTTGTTTAATTTAATATATTGCTGTCTTTGTTCCCTTGTGTGATTTTTGCTGTGGTTTGATATGACCTATTTGCTTGATTTTGAGTTGGATATGACCTATTTGCTTGATTTTGAGTTGGACGTTGAACTCTATGGGTTTCATTAGCTTTAAGCCTTTAACAGTATTCTCAGCTTAGATGTTTCGTCAATAGGAGGTCGTCGAAGAAATTCTATCACGGAATACATAAAATAAGAAGAAAAAGAGTATTAATGTATAATGAACGCACCAAGTCCTTGCTGATACCCATTAAGTAATTTGCTTCCTGCAGCACCCAATTCCTCAAGCTTTTTGGGCCTATAATGGTACAGTCATTGAATCATGTGATTAAAGCCGCAATAGTTGACAAGAAAGAGTAGTAGTCCCCTGTTCCTTATTACTATTTCGCCTATTTTCTTCATCTGTTGTCTCTATAAGTAATNTTTAGGGTTCACTGCTCTCTCTTCATCAAGGTAAATACCTTAATTGTTCTTGTAATTTTCTAGTTTAATGGTGGAATTTAGGGTTTAGAGCTTTTTGTTTAATTTAATATATTTCTGTCTCTGTTCCCTTGTGTGATTTTTGAAGTGATTTGATATGACTTATTTGCTTGATTTTGAGTTGCACGTTAAACTGTCTGGGTTTCTGTCTGCTTTAAGCCTTTAACAGTATTCTCAATCGGTTTAGATGTTTTGTCAATAGGAGGCCGTCGAAGAAATTCTATCAGGGAATACATAAAATAAGAAGAAAAAGAGCATTAATGCATAATTAACGCACCAAGTCCTTGCTGATACCCACTAAGTAATTTGCTTTCTGCAGCACCCAATTCCTCAGGCTTTGTGGGCCTATAATGAATCATGTGATTGAAACCGCAATAATTGACAAGAGAAAGCAGTAGAGCCCAAACAAAAAGCAATTAACTAGATACTTGTCTTCCATATCACAAGCATTATCAATGTAACCATTACTTGTCCCTATAATTAATGCTTATACTCTATTACAGATAATATAATATTTTGAGCAGTAGTCCCCTGTTCCTTATTACTATTTCGCCTATTTTCTTCATCTGTTGTCTCTATCAATAAACCATTTGCTTGATTTTGACTTGCACATTGAAGTCAAGGTTTTAGAGTTTAATTGAGCTGAAATTATGAGTGTTGAAATTTTATGATTTTGTTGTTATTTGTTCTTCAAAGTTTTGAATTTGTGATGAATTTGATTTATTATATTCTATTATGTTGTTGAACATGGATTGATATAGTTTTATGATCAAGTGTGGGCATGTCCACTAGAAACAATCCAATTGGGACCATTTTTTCTTAATATTTGATTCAGTATTTGATTCAATATTCCTTCAGTAAATTGGTTTGCACTTCAGTAGAGAATTTGTTTTGCAATTCTGATCCATTTCTTGTGAATGACTTCGTATGATTTTCCTATCTTTCAATCTAAAATTCTAGATGGATAAAAGTACAACAAAAGTAATACAATCTCAAGTATCAGCAAAATGGAACGACATGCTCCACCTTAATTTTATTGAACTTTGCAAAGAAGAAATTAGAAAAGGAAATCGACCAAATTGTCATTTATCTTCTGTTGGATGGAACAATTTGATCAAGGCATTCAATGAAATGACTGGTATTAATTATAATAGAAAGCAGAAGAGAAATCATTGGGATGCCATGAAAAAAGATTGGACTCTTTTCAAGCAATTGATGAGAGGGGAGACAGGTTTAGGTTGGGATGATGTGAGAAAAACAATTATTGCTGATGACAAATGGTGGAATGATAAAATAAAGGTAGTTGCAACTTTTTTTTTTTTTATGTATTTTTTTTAATTGATATTAATTGTTTGAAATGTCCCTAATTTTCTAAATTAACAACATTGCAGGTGAATAAAGAATATAAGAAATTTAAAAACAAGGATTTGTCATTAATATGGGACCGCTATGATGCTTTATTTTCTGATATTACTGCCACCGGTGATCGAGCATGGGCACCTAGCCAAATTGATGCCCTCAACATTGAAAATGAATTTGCAGGTGAATCAATAGGGATGAGAGAAAATAGAGATGAAGAAATTGATGTTGATTTTGAAAAGGATGATGACAATGATGTGTTAGGAAGAAATATAAAAGAACTTGAAAATGTCCCCATCAAATTCCCATCTTCATCTCTTAATAAAAGAAAAATTGGAGGAACCAATAACAATATGAAGAAAGGGAAAAACTCGGTTGCATCATCATTGAAAGAGAATATAGATTCTCTTATTGCTATACTCACTGATAAGAGTACTGCTGAATCTTCTAGTTCGTTGCAACATGAAGCAACAATAGTAGAATGTATGGATATGCTAAAGAAGATGCCTGGAATTGAAATATCGAGTCCTTTTTATTTTTATGCCTCTAACCTCTTTACTAAGAAAGATATGAGAGAGCTCTTTTTTTGTCATGATGATAATGAAGTTCGTTTGAATTGGCTGAAGTATAACTACATGAAATCAAAGGGAAAGTGTCCATAGTTATTTCTTTTATTTCTTTTATGTCTTATCCTTAGGATTCTTTGTTCATTTCATTTTTATTTTTATTAATGTTATTGTGTTTCAAACAAAGTAACTTGTTTGTTGAATGATAAATTTGTTTGGATAATTGTGATGAGTGATCATTGCGATGAATATATTTGTTATTATTTTCTATTTTTTGTTATTGAAGACATATATTTGACTATTATTTTTTCATTTTTTAGTTTAATGGAGCCGTGGGATATTTCAAATTTGTTGGTTACTACTGATTACAATTTTGTGGTTGATGGCCATAGCGATAACGAGGATGAATTACAAGCTTTTGTGAGTCAATGGGAAGAACAAAATTGTAGTTGGATGACTATTTGTGAGATCACAGTTAAGTGCATTATTTTATATTATATAAATTACGTTGATAAAATCCCATGTCGTACTTCTATAAGAACTGGTCACATGTTGATCCAAGAAATATTGGAAGGGAATGAAAATCGTTGTTATCAAGATTTTCGCTTTACAAAATCTGTCTTCCTTGATTTATGTCATGATTAAACCAATAAATATGGTTTGAAGCCCACACGAGGGATGTCAGTATATGAGGAAGTAGGCATATTCTTGATGATTTGTGCTCACAATTGCGGGAATAGATTGATTCAAGAAATATTTAATCATTCTAGTGAAACCATTCATAACCATTTCCATAGGGTGTTGATTGCTTTACTTCTTTTAGCTAAAGATATTATTAGACCACATTCACAATACAATGGAGGAAAGGGATTTCACAAACCACAAAATCCAAAATACAAACCTTTTGATGTAAGTAACGATTATTACGCAATATATATTTTTTCAAACTATTATTATTACTTTGATTCATGATTATAATTGTATGAAGTAGTAATTTTTATATTTTGTCATGTTAATAGGATTGTATTGGAGCATTAGATGACACACATGTGAAAGCTAAATTGCCTCGGGGGGAAGAAATACCTTACATTGGACGTAAAGGGTATCATACTCAAAATATTCTTACAGTAGTAGATTTTAATGTGTTTTACATTTACATGGGTTGGATGGGAAGGTGCTGCACATGATTGTCGCATATTTTCTGAGGCACTCTGCAGAGAAGAGTTAGGATTTCCCCATCCAACGGGCAACAAATATTATTTGATAGATGCTGGATATCCCCATACGTGGGGATATATGAGTCCATACAAAGGAGAAAATGTAACATATCACTTGGAAGATTTTCGACGTGCTCGAACAAGGCAATTACGTGCACCAACTTGAAAGAAAGAAAAATTCAATTATCTACATTCGTCGTGCAGAAATATTGTTGAACGAACTTTTGGTGTGTGGAAAGAACATTGGTCTATTTTGAGAGATATGCCTACCTTCCATATTGACACACAACGAGATATTGTGCTTGCGACTATGGCAATCCACAACTACATTAGAAAAAAGAACACACTAGACATGGCTTTTCAAGTCGTGAGAATGAAATATATATGTCTTCATTAGATGGAGATGGAGCACTCTCGTTAGATGGAGATAATGCTTTTACCAATGGTGAAAATATTGCTTATTGGATGGCTATGCGTGATTTGATTGCAACTGAAATTTGTACCGTGTAGTTATTCTCATATGCAAATTGAATGGATTAATATGATTCAATTGAGACATGAATCGAATATTCTGATTGAAATTTTATTTTTTTTGAATATAATTATAATTCATTATATTTGTTCATTAGTTTATTTTGTATAAAGAATCTAAAAACTTGGGATATTGCTCATTTATTTTGATAATATTCTAGTAAAAAATTAAGTTAATATAATT